AAGTCGTATAATTGACAAAAGATCCTAACGCATTGACTAATAATATTCCAGCTGTAAGAAATAATTGGAAAAAAGCACCGAGAGTGCCTCTGGTCGATGTCTCTGCGACTTCGGAGATATAAGTGGGTACCAAAACGCAAGTTGCACCGACGCTAGTACCAACGATCAGCCTGGCTACGTAGAGCATCCAGGCACTGGAGGCTACGATGATTATCAGCCAAGATAATAGAAAGGGTCCGGTCAACAACATGAGGGATTTCTTCCTGCCCAATTTGTCTGCCATTTTGCCGGATGGTAAAGCACCCAACATAGCTCCCAATGCTAACAACGAACCAACCCACGAACCTTCGTCCTTCGTTATTACCAACCAATTGTCAGGTTCATATAGAACAGGCAATATCGGTGCCGTCCATGCCATAGCTGTTCCAACACCGACAGCCAATAAGCAGACTAAAGAAAAAACACGATATTCGTTTTTATTTATTTTTATTTTATTCCATGTTAAAAAAGATCCCTTTCGTTGGATAATCTCTTATCGGAAGTCATTAGGTATGATTAATTTTCATCGGACGATATAATTCGTTGCAAAAGAAACGTTGTTGGGATTATTCTAAAAAGAGACCATTATTTATACGCGAAAGACATAAGTTGTTTAAAGTTGAGACCTCTTAAAAATATTACAAAGTGGCTCGTTCTTTCAAAGAAAAGGAAAGGAAAGGAAAAAGAAGAAGAAAAGAAACGTAGATATATCTGGAATATTTTTTATACTAGAGTATGTACTTTGAAATGGTATCTTTCAAAGTACATACTCTCTCGTGTTATTAATCGTTAAAAAGCAGAAAAACGACGTTTCACCATTAAATTTTCCACAAACTCGCTTGCTACGGAGTTTACTGAAAAGAGAAAAATAATACCGCGACTTGTGTACCGTAAGATGAAGAGGAGGGCCGGGGAGCTGTAGGGGAGCGATGCTTTGAAAAATCAACTACATAGGTACTACGTACACGACGATATAGGAGGAATCCGAAGGAGCTTTTACTTATCCACTTTTCTTTGAAAGCACTCGTTCCATCATTCGTGTGCCTTACCATTGCCAATGGAATGAAGATTTCTCTTAGCTTTCAAACATTTTCTCGGTTCGACGTAATAAAATTTTGAGTAGCTATCTACGTTTCCTGACGTTACAAGCCTCACCTGATCTCGCCTCTCTCGTACTTTTCCGATCGTCAAGCCAAAAGGGCGTAACTGACTAAATAGGAAATATTACCGAACTTTCCACGATCTCATTCTATTGTATAGGGAAGAAAGAAAAATAATGGATCTCTCTGGAAAATTTTAACCTCGAGAAATCAGTTCCTATTTATCTTTTCCGTTAGTACTCTAGTATTTTCGAAGTGGACAAACGTAATCATACTCGATAAGGCACTTACGCTTGTACCCAATGAGAGATAGACTGTGATCGATTTTTCTTTTTTTGCGCTCGAAAAAATTGGAAAAAGAAAACAAGGAAAGTCCAATTCCTTTTTATTATCTCTATCCTTTCATATTATTTTGTAAATGAAATTGGACGAAATTTAAATTCGATCATTATTCAATTCAAAATTCGAAATGTTTATACGACGGAAGAAAAATGATATCTATGGGGAAACGTTAGAGCTCTCGTTTAAATACCGGAAATCGAAGTGAAGTATTGCCAGAGTTTCTTGCTATCCTGACGAACGGGTGCACCGTTTAGCATTCCTGTTTCCTCCATTTCTGTGACTTAGAATTCTTCTTTTCCGAGAAAGTAGACGACGAAAACGTTCACTCTTTGAGATCTTTTTCGATTGTAAAGAAGATCCTTTCACGACGATGGAAATGGAAATGAAAAAAAAAAAAAATAAAAAAAAAAAATAAAAAAAAATAAAAAAGAAAGAAAAAAGAACGAAAGAAGTAGAAGAAGAGGAGAAAGAAAACGCGTGATTTCGTTGCTCTTTTGCAAATTAATTAATACGAATGATGAAAAGCTGCATTTCGAATTGAGCAAACTCGCTAGAAGAAAACCGAATGGACTCGTCGAGAACGAGCTAATCGTATATCACACTTGCCACTATCTAACCAACATTATCACTAATCGAACTTATCTATCGGCTTTGGAAGTGGTGAAATACAAAAATTTATAAATCACGATAAACAGTAATCAACTAGCGGAGTCGAAAATTCTATACAACATCATTGACGCCGATTGGCTCGGCCTTCTATAATAACGATAAAATACAGGCTTTTAAGAATTTCTTGCGTTACCCTCGATAATGTTCCAGTTTCGTGAAGAACCCGATTATCGTGTTTCTTAAATAATATAGCCTGAAAATGAAAAATAAGAATGAAAAATAATATCGCGTCAATGATTCTCTCCAATCTCTCGATAACATTTAACAGTTTCTAATCCATGAAAATCAAGTAACTACATCGAGCATTCTACTCGTAATAAATAAAGGGACTTGCCATCAAAGGATATCGTCGGGAGTGCATTTCTGTAAACAGCTTTGCGTATTTGCGTGTGCCTTTGACGGCAAACGTTTACTATCGTCGTCGTGGTCTTAGGAAATTTGCATTAAACTAAACGTTGCTTTTACAAGTAAATAGCTACGTTTCCTACCAAGTTCTAATGTTCCTGTCATATACGAACGATCGTGTTCATTTATTTCCACGTTCTTCCCTTATTAGATCGATAAATTTATAGAATTACGAATAGAACATTTTGATAGCGACACCTCTCGTTCTAATTCCAACGATTATTGCAGAAACCGAACGTTGTTTTATTCGTCAAGCTTTAACGATCATTAACTCTTTTGTCAAATAGGAATTAATAAAGTTGCAGATGTCTTTTTCAAAGCATTAGAGATAGAACAATTATCGTTCATCGATCGATCGATGCGACTCTATCGCACGGACATTAGGCCAGTTGTTGAAAGTAATTATGAGAACACAAGGAGATTGCGCTTGTTCGATTCTCTATGCTCCTTGAAAAAAGAAAGAACCTTTGCGATCCCATCTGTTTGCTAATAATCGTGCAACGTCAATGAGATAATTCTTACGATACGATTCTTTGCATTAATTCATTTCCTTTTCTCTCCCTCCCTCTCTCTCTCTCTCTCTCCCCCTCTTTGACTTGTTACTTGAAAAGAAAACTTGGATTATCGTATAAGCCTTTCCTCCGAGTTAATTGAACAAGTTACAACATCGTCAAACGTTTACAAATCGCTACAACTTTATTTTCTCTCTCATTCTTGACTTGTACTTATACAAGAAATATCTGCACCTTGATTTTCCAGAATTAAGAAATCAATTCTAGAATTGAATAATCTACTATCTTACGTAATTTTTTGATCCTCATAATTATTTTCCTTCTTTTTTCATTCATAAACAAACGACCGACGATATTTTTCAAATCGAAAGATAAGAAACGATAACGAGAGATCCGTTGAAATATTTTCCGATGAAAGTACTCTTGTTGATTTTTAATCCCATTGGAGAAGAAATTTTTTTCTGAAAGAAGTAAACATCCGGATAAAGAGAAAACAAAATAAGTTTGGCCTCCTTGTCCGAATTATCTAGTCCGACATTCTATGAATTTGAATTTGAATTGTACGCACGATTATTCACGGTTAGACGTATCTTTGTCGGTCTTTTGAGAACACAGTAAACGTATGCCAACGCGTTTCGAAGACTAAAGAGAATCTTATTCGAACACAGAGCCTGCGGTTACCGTCGGCGGTTGACGACAACGTTGAAAAGCATTTGCATCTTCCTGCAATGCGAGCAAAGAAAGGTGCTACATCAAAGGTATCGTGCTGCATATTAACGAGTACCTGTCTTTCGGGTAGAAAATGAACCTTTTAATCGTTCCTTTAAATTCGTCTTTTTTATTTCCCTTTTTACAATTTTTACAAGTCTCTAGACTTACAATTTCTACGTACCTTATTTCATTCAGAAAGAGAAATTTATTTCTTTATCGGAGTCTAATTTTTTCTCGAGTCTATGACACATTATTCTAATTCAAATAGATCTCCTTTCATTTAAATCATATGCAACGTTTTATAGTAATAACATAGAGATATATATTATCGTTTGATAATAGAAGTAATACACGGAAATGATTGTACGAGAACGGTAAACGAAAACGTCGATCCTCGTTAACATCGCACTTTACTGTCTCGTGAGGATGACACGTTGACGTTTTGTTATCAAGGATGTTCATTCAAATTGACATACCGAACTCATTACGATAATAACACAGATCGCAAATATTTAAAGCACTTTAAACGATCCTTTTTCAGTCGTCGCCGACTATCTTCGATCTTCATGGAAAGCCATCTAAAACGAATGATGAATTTTTTATTCAAAGCGTTATTTATAAAATACGACGATTCGTCTCGATCCATTCTCGATCGAAAGGGATATCTTTATTATAGGAATTCATCTAGAAAGAAAGGCGCGTGCAGTTCGAATAAAAATTTGAATGAAATAAATGTTTAAAAACGATCGCCAGTAATATCGTCGTTTACGATCATTCGACAATACCAATGAAAGCTCATTTATCAATAAATCATTTATGATAAATATTTCATTGGCGATCGATATCACTCTTCGTACGTTCGTTATCTATCTCTGATTTATTAAAGCGAGTTACGAACGAAAAAAGACTAATGCTTGCTCGGTTACAAAAAAATTACAAGGGAAAAAATCGAAAAGGAAAATAAAGAAAAACGAGGTACTCCATTTCATCTCTCTCACTCTCTCTTTCTTTCCCTTCTTATGAAAACGATCACTCTGTTATCACAACTTCAAAGCCAATAACGAGCGAGCTACAAGATTTACTTAACGATTAGAGCTTTGAATGACGATCGATTTTATTGCAAATAAAACGAATACACGAACTTGTGTATATCGCGATTCAGGCAGAAAAATATATTGGAGAGAGGGAGGGTTAAAAATGAATGAAATATTCGTAAACGTGATTCAAAATATATTTCTTATTTATTGCTCTCAAAAGGAATCGACGCTCTTTTGTAAAGCAAAGGTACAAAAAAAAAAAAAAACTTACTCGACGTCAATAATACAACTTACACGTACGTTATCAATAATACGTATGATAAAAAAGAAAAGAAAAGAAAAGAAAGAAAAAAAATCAGGATTAGAAGAAACGAAGAAAAAGGCACAAGATCGGGTGGGAGGATGGTGCTGGAGAAGGAGGAGGAGGAGGAGGAGAGAAGGATGATGGGTATAAAAAAAAGACGCAAATAGATACATAGATAGAAAAGTAATATAGTAGCAAATATGTGCGAGTCTCGATTTATACGAGTCCTGGAATGATCTACGAAGGATAACACGGACTTTTCGAATAAATATACCGTATGAATGATCCACGTGAGCTTCGCAAAACATAATTGCAAGAAGATTTATCAATATCAAAAAACAATTCGTCGTTTCTGATATTTTTCCAGATTAAATCGTCATACATTCATACATTTTTTCACATTTAGGAAAATCGATTGAACACGATTAACGATCTACATCTTTACTTGTATCTCAAAACTAGCCATTCAATCGATATTGTTTTAACCTAATCAGAAAGATATTCATCTCGTTTCTTTATATCTTTGTTACGCCGTAAAACATTCTATATTATCCTTATCAAATATCATCTTATTCTTCTAGTAAGGCCCGTACTTTAGGTATTCGGGAGTAACTCACAGAATTATATCTGTAGAGATACTCTCTCGCTCTCTCTCTCTCTCTCTCTCTCTCTCTCTCTCTCTCTCTCGCGCGCGCGCATACATGACATTCTCACCCTTTTGCATTCATCTCATTTCATTGACGCAACGAGTTCTCCGCGGCAAAGGGAGAAGAAAAAAGAAAATAAAAAAAGAGAAAATAAAATACACGCTTTCCATCGTAAAATGTTCGGTGGTTTGTTATATAACTTAGCTTACAATTAGATTAAAAATGAACTTACAATGTAAAATCGTACGAAAGTAAATGTCACTATTTCTCGTAGCTTTTTGGTTTGCATACTCTGTGTGTGAGTGTGTGTATGTGCGCGCACACGCGCGCGTGTGTGTGTGTGTATGTAAATAAGGCATCGCGTATTCGTTCGATCCTTCTTCCTCTGATAACTCTCGCGATTGATTAAGCTCGATCAGCTCAGTCTTTGTCATGTGTAATGTTCGCATGGACGGAAAATAAAATTCTAATCTCTTTTATTCGCTTTTGATCGTTGTTATTAAATACGATACGATATAGAATCGATGAAAAGGGAAAAACGAAAAAAGATTAAATCGATTAAATCGCAAAGGGTAATGTATCCGACATAAACGAACGAGATTGAAATCGTCACTGTCGTTGTTTTTGTCGTCATCGTCGTCGTCGTCGTCGTCGTCGTCGTCGTCGTCGTCGTCGTCGTCGTCGTCGTCGTCGTCGTCGTCGTCGTCGTCGTTGCGAGCTCACTTTCGCGCAAGAATCGAAAATAAGATGAGACGTTCCTCAAATTTTGACATTTCTATCAAATGTAAAAAATTGGAACTACTCGACGACGTTCGATTCTTGATTTTAAGTACCCATAATACGTCTCTTTGCGGAGACGGAGAAAAGAAGAAAAAAAAATTCAGACGAAATTTTAAGGATCTATGATAAGTTTGTGGACTTTGGAAAGGCAAGAATCGTCTATCTCTTTTTTTCTCTTTCTCCTTACGTCCATGATCGATCCAGGGCGATATTTTCTAATTTGAAAAAATTAGATCTTTAGGAGGGTGCTGTAAATAAATATCCTTTTGCCTGTGTCCGTCGTTTCGACGAGTTTATATCTTCTGCTATTTAGCTTCTCAATGAGATTCTTCGTTTCCGCTGTGCTATGATGCGTACTCCAACGTATAGAAAGGACAGATATCCTTATGATTTCCCAAGGGATCGTGTCTAACACCTGTTCGTGATAAAAAAAAAAAGGTCAAATAACGATAAAATAAAAAAAAAAAAATATCCTATATGACGACTGAAAAATAAAGTTTTAATTTTACCTGGCCATCTTGAATGTCCGGACTGTCGAGACTCAGATAATCTAAAGTTGTGACGTTATAGGCCAGCAGTACACTGTAAAGAGGGAAACACTTCAATCTGGTCGTCGGCAAACTCTCGTCCGATGAAACAAGACTGTTCGGTCCTTCGCCTAATTTGGTAACTTGGACCTCGGATTCCTGATGATACGTTATCTGAAATACCGAAGATAGCAATCTAACCGATCGATCATTATTTTCTTTCGACGAATTTCTTAAACGAAGGCTTACTTCTTTGATGACTTTGTCGGTACTCAGGCATGAATGAAGCACTCTCGTTTTTAAATTACGACTGCTTTTCTGAGCCTCAAAGAAACTTCTAGGATCTGTAAGGATCAAAACGCCTCTCCAATTCAAATTCGAATCGAGCCAGGCTGTACTAGACATTGCTCCTATCTGAGAAGGAAAAAAAAAAAAAAGAAAAACGACAATATTATTCGTACGATCGAAATTAGATCTCTAGATGGTTAAAAAAAAAAAAAGAAAAAAGAAAAAGTAAAAGTATACAAGCGAAATATTGATATTAATTAGGTTCGTTTAAAAATTTTAATCGATTATACGCAAGTTCTCTAAAGTGGGGTGTCAAAAAAGTTGGACTACGATTGAAGAACCATAATTATATAATAAAATTCGAAAGGTAAATCGTAATTTGAAAATAAATCCCTACCCTGCTGATATATTCAATGTAGACACCCTCGCGTTTATTTTGTGTCAAACTCGCAACGTACTTCTCCTCGGAGGTTTGCGTCGCGTTTAGGAACTCTTGATGAGTCGTTGGTTTAAAATGAACCTCGCGTATGTAAGCGATCAGCTGAGGATTGTCCATGGAGACGCTGTTAAGCACGTAGTCCCTCGTCATGTTCGCGTCGAAGGCTTGCCTCCTGTAATATCGGAAGGTCGGCTTTAAAGTTTCAAAGGTCTCATTAGCGAGAGAATTGATGATCACCCTTTTAAGATCGGTAGCAATAAAAGAGAATAGGAATCGATTCAAATCGGTTCGTGTTCAAAATGAAAAAATTATTAACGTGTAAGTAATGTTAACTAATACGCGCCAATTGAAAATTCCTCGGACGAAATAGACAATAAAAAAATGATTATAATTTTAAAGCGTCGAATTAGAAGTTTACCTTAATGCAGCAGCTTCGCTCCAAACGAGAAGTAACGCCATGGCAGTTGAAAAAGCTGCTAGAAAAGCCAAGCAGGGGGCCACTCTTCGCCACCAGGTCCTCTTGTAGCTTAACAAAGCGTTAGCAGGGAGATTTGGGGCCGCTGTTACTTGTTGACCACCACCTCCGCCTCCAACTCCGGCTGAGGCCGTTCCTGGCCCAGCCATCCTGTCGAAATAGAACGGGCAATTTCTTTTTAACCTTCTTTTTTCCCCCTTGTTTTCAGAGGACAGGGTTCGCTACTACACGTGGCGATCATGCCGGACTATTTACGCTCTCGCCAGTAAATTTATTGTCGTTTCGAGGGAGATTTCGAATGCACCTGTCGTTGCAACTCTCTCGTCGCTCCAACGTCCGTTTATTCGTTCGTTCTTTGTCCCCGTCGACAATTTCTAAAGGCATTTGCATCGTAAATAATTTTATACGTACATTTATCTCTAGAAAAAAAAAAAAGAAAAGAAAAAAAAAAAGAGATTACGTCGCTCGTAAAGCAAGGTAATTAATTCTATGTAGTCTTCCCAATTTTATTATCAGATCATATAAATTTTTATTATTAGATCAATCAATCTCGATAGTTTCTTTTTATCAGAATAAAATGGCAACGTTTGATATTTCTATCGAATACAATTTAATTCAAGAATATCGGAGTGACACAATGGACGCTTATTGTAGGCGTCTCGACCTCGATTCACCTCCTTGCAAGCTGCCACGTACCGATAATTTTAACTTCTTGGAAAAATAATCGATCGTATGAAAGAAAGAAAGAGAGAGAGAGAGAGATATCATTTGTTTTTTCATTTCGAAGAGAAACGCGGTGTTGTCTATCGATTCGATTCACCCTCTTTTGCTCACGGACATGCGATACGCCTGGCATTAATTAATTTCCTCTCGAGTTTTAGGGTCGTTCGAATAAAATATAACCATCCTAGCGTATTCCCTCGAGTAAGAAAAATCAGAGCGAGTAAACGACACACCTTCCAACACAGAAATATAATTCGATATAATGCTGCCGTCATTGTTAGCAGAATTTATTTCATTAACACATTTTTCTCATATTACCGGTTTTCTAATGAAATACAATAATCTCTAAAATAAATCTACCGAGTACTCATAGAGTACGAATAATCGAATATGGTGGGACCAGTTGAAAATTAATTTCATATAATTTATGAAAGAATTCGCGGAATAATCGTTTGCATTCATTAGAATTTATTTCTTTAATTTCAAAAATCTTTTCTTCTTTTAATTAAAAAATAAATCATCGAGGTTGTCACCTTGTATGGTTCTATCTATATAAGGTTTCTTTCAGAATTTTTTCTTGCAATTAAAAGAAAAACATATAAACGTTAATTAAAAACGTTGCTATTCGCCATAAGATAAAAGAGTAATAGATGTTGCTGTAAAGACGGCACTTAGGTGAGTCGCGCATGGGTCAGGTATATCTAGATGTATTTGTTTCTCTACTACTACACGTGACTCACGGCCGGCGCGCACGGACTTTCTAAACAAATTTTTTCCTATCGCATCCATAAGAGTACACATATAAGGATTCCGAACAAAGGAAGTCTTCGGGTTCGTATCCTTTTCGTACCTGCCGTTCGCAAAACCATCCCATTCAAGAATAAGACTTCCAATATTCGACCTTCTCGGTATTTCACGCATTACGATGATCTTTTTTAGAAATACGTAAAGAAGTTATTTGAAATATTAAAGAGTCATTCGTTTCGTCTCTTCGATTTTTTTTCCTTGTGATTTAGTTTCGTCGATTTTTTTTTTTTTTTTTTTTTTTTTTTTTTTTTCTATGAAAGATTCGGAGATTTTTAGGCGACACGAGGGGTAAGAAAAACATAACAAATCGAGACACCAGATGTGAACATTGTGCAATTAAAAGAACGCTTGATGTACGTAAAACTGGACGATTTCATTTAATTATGGAAACGAAACAACGCTTCGCGTTGCGGTCTTCGATCTTTTTGACATAACGACGGTGTGACGGAAAGAGAGAAAGAACAAACGACCGTTCTAATTACCTTTTTCTTTCTCAAACAAGAGAATAACGGATCGACCACTATACGTTTTATCTAATCCCAATAAACGAGCATTGTGCAAATGATAGCTCTCTTTCTCTCTCACTTTTTTTTACCAAAGCATTAAACGTGTGTTTTTGTCGGAACAGTACGACCCCCACTCGTTTCACTCGAATGACATTTTTCTAATTCCAACGTTACATGTCAACGCAACAAATATCTGAATTGGTGAAATGGAAAACAACGAAAAGAAAGGAGAAAGAGAGAGAGAGAGGGAGAGAGAGAGAAGAAAGATAATAGAAACCCGTAGAAAAGAAAAAAAAAGCAAGTTGTAAAAACGTGATCCCCGTTGTTTTCCACCGTTAAAAGCTTTCTTTGCCTTTTATATTGAATTTACGGTGATGGCGGAGAGAGAAAAAAAAAGGAAAAGAGAGAAAAGCAGACATAAAAGAGAAATAAGACGTAAAGAGGGAAAAGAAAATAATCGTCATTTGAAGAAAAGACTGAAACCTTTGTGGAATAATATCACTCTCGTCATGAGTGATATCGATCGATCGATTTCAACGTACATATGTATCATTTAAATGTAATAAGTTGTAGGTAGGATACGATAGGTTCGCATAGCTTTCACATCGGTCTCTCTAGTCGTAAACTCTAATATACACACAAGTCGTTAGTAAACATATCCGTAATACATAACATACTCGTAAAAACGAAAAATGATGCATAACAAGTTGAGAAAGATAGCGCGATTCACTGTGTTTGAAAGAGAACTTCGTATATTATATCTACATATCACTCACACTTTCATGCACCGATAAATCCGTACAAAAAAGAAAAAATAAAGAAAAAAAAAAACGTAACAAAAAGAAAGAAGAAACAAACGAATTCATATAATTGTTACTATCTAACAACTCTAAAAGAACGTTCCCTTCGAAGGAATTAAAATCCAAAACACGATCGTAGCTTAATGGATTTTTTCTCTCTCTCTCTCTCTCTCTCTCTTTTTTTTCTTGTTTATCGATACGTACTTGGACTTGAGGGGCTCCAGTTTTTGGCAGATCTTTCTTGGTCGATTTTAAGTGCCGATGGAAACGCAGCTTTAACAGCACAGTACTTTGATCGCGGGAAGCTTTACATCTCGTCCGTGACACGCTCGCTGTCCCGTACACATTCGGCTTTCGTTTGCGCGACTGTAGGAGAGCGTGCTCATCTCTCTTTCTCTCTCTCTCTCTCTCTCTTCTCCTTCTCCTACTCCTCTTGCCCCTCTCTTCTTCCTTTCTCTCCCACTCTCTTTCTCTCGATTTCCTTTCGTCCGGCCGACCCACACGCGCGGTGCACTTTACGAAGTAGCGTCCTCGCTTTGCATCGAAAAGAATGTAACCGTAAAGGAACTTTTCTATGTCTCTTCCTCCTCTCTACGGAGAGGAGTCATGACAAAGAAGGAAAGAAAGAGAATGAGGGACTACGACTCGCAAAGCGACTACTCGCTGACTGAGAGTCGTCGACTAGAAGGGAGCGAAAGAAAGAGAGGAGGGTATAGCCGCAGTGCAGCTCTGTCGATGAGTCTTTCTCTTTCCTTCTTAAACTCCGACTCGCTCTCTTTCTGCATATACCTATCTCTCTCTTTCCCACGATTCTTCGTATTCATGCGAGAGAGAGAGAGAGAGAGAGAGAGACTTCAGCGTCGGGCGTTTGTCCTCACTGAGAAAGAGACGTTTCCTTCTTCTTGACTCATCGTACGAAAGATAGAGAGAAGGAGAGGGAAAGGGAGAGGAAGAGGAGAGAGAGAGAGAGAGAGAGAGAGAAAGAGATGATACACGCACACGTTTGGTGAAAAAGAGAGGACGGAGTGGCACGGAGGACGACGGTTGCTGGCTCGTGACGAGCACCGACTGCGTGTGCCCTCCTCGCTGGCACCTGGAAACGGCCCCAACACTACGACGACGACGACGACGACGGCGACGGCGACGGCGACGGCGACGGCGACGGCAACGGCAACGGCGACGACGGCGACGGCGATGACGACGACGAGGAGTACAATGCCTTCTCTCTATCTCCCTCTCTATGTGTCTGTATACATCGGGTGTCCTTCTTTAAACGGCCCACACCGTCGAACTCTAGCCTGTTCATCGTCTATCCCCTTCAATTCTACACGATCGCCTTTCTCGCTCGCTTTTACGAGGACACTCTACCATTCTCCTAGCTTGGCCAGGTAGAGAGAACAGGGGTTCTCAACTTGTCGACTTTCTCACTCTCTCTCTTTCTCTCTCTCTCTCTCGCTTTCTCTCTCTCTCTCTCTCGCTCTCTCTTGCAGTCTTTAGTCGAGGTTTATTCGATTTATTTCAAGCAGACTCGAGCGAATGCACACGACGTCGTTATTGATCCCAACGTAGACTGTTAAAGAAGAAGAAATATCGTAGGTTCTTTTATATCTCTGACTTTTTTCTTTTGTTTGTCTTTTTTCTTTTTTTTTTTTTTCTAATTTCAATGATAGTCATCGTGTAAATATTTGTATTACCTATGCTCTTCGATTTTGAAGTACCATCCGAAAAAAAGAAATACAAGTCCACGTGAAAGCGAAGAAAAAGAGAGGGAGAGAGAGATTCGAAGGAAGAAAGGGAGAGCCACTTTTCCATATAATGGCGAGACACGGACAGGATGAAAAGGGAAACGGTCGGTTGGGGAGAGAAAATGTACGATAGAGCGGGGGTGCAGAGGAGAAGGGACAGGGGAGTTACGGAGAGGGACGGAGAAGGAAGGGAAACGTGATTGGTATGCGCCAAGGCGGAAATGGCATCAGCTGTGGCAACGATAGGAAATTTTGTTATACACACCCTTCTCCGTCTCTCGATTCTCTATCTCTATCTCTGTCTATCTTCGGCAATTCTCTAATTGCATTACAATTTTCGTTAGTTCGCCAAGTTCGAATTCTATTTCCATTGGAGTTACCCTACGGAAACGATTCTTATTATCGATTAGCGAATTTCCAACGCTTTTGACGCAAAACTTTGTTAACGTCATTGACTGGCGTGCTGATATTATTTACAAATTGTTTTAATATTTCATTATGTTTCGTTCTCGTTCTAATTCCTCATCACTTTACTACTTGGATTTTTTTTCGGGATTTTCTCTATCTTTCTTATTCTTGCGTCAGCGATCCTTTCTTTTTTTTTCTTTTTCTAGAATCTGACACTTGATTAGCAAACATAAATATGAACGTACGCGACCCATCCTTACTCTTTCATAAAGGGAGATATCATTTGTGAATTTTTCTACCGTAGAAAATTCAAGTCGAGAATGCAACTCGACTCGAGAAGTATAGAATTTCTCTTTGAAAAGGAGTTAAAGAAAAATAGAGAGCCTGGCGAGAGACGAGAGCAGCCGGCTCTCCGTCATCGCGATCGTGCGTGCCACTGCCATCTGCTCGATCATGTAAATGCGAATAACAGGGAGAGAAGGAGAAAGAGGGAGAGGGAGAGGGAGAGAATGGACGTCTAGTCAGGTCGGAAAGCGTCGGGACGCCCGCGACTACACATGGCACGCGCTCAAACGCGCGGACTCTCGCGCAGACGCGATTCTTCATCGTCGAAAGAGAGTAAGTAAGAGAGAGAGAGAGAGAGAGATTCACGCACACGAGTAGGAGGACGCCGTTGGAAGCGCGTTACATTGAACCATCCAACGGAGAGCGGACACTCGTACGGCGACCGCGAACGTGATAACTCCTTTCCTGTTCCTGTTTCTTCCCAAAGGAACACGAAGAATAATTCTTTTTGAACTTTCGACGAAAGTGTTCATTTTCTTGAACAAAACTTCACAATATCACGTGGGAACATTCCGGCACATCGATTATTTTTTTCAAGAGGATTTGGAGCATCAGAAACGAAGCTGATGATCGGTGTTTCCAACTAAAATTGACAGTACGTTTTAACTTTTTCTAATTTCAAAGGATCAGTTTAACTCTAGAGGCATCAATTTCAAATGGGCCGCGCGCGGGAAAATTTTGGATAACTCAATTATCTTAAATGTCATTAAAATTGTCGATTTGCAATCGATTTTTTTTATCGATTTATGTATGTATGTTCAAGGCATGCAAAGTTAATAGGTCGAATACTCTATCGCGCGCATTCACAATAACTCGTCTTGTACTCGTCTGTCACTTTTGATAGATTTTCTCTTGACAAAAGGAGGCGCGCTTTTCTTTCGGTCTCTTTTTCTCTTTCTTTCTTTCGCCCTCTCTCGCCCTCTCTCACTCTCTCTTTCTCCGTCCGTACAATAAAAAGTACTTTTAGAAGGAAGAGGGGAAACTGGCACGGCAGCTTTTCAACTAACTTCCATTCAAATTTTGACATACTCGTTTGGACGATAAGTTGAAAGAAGTCATTAAGAAAAGTAATAAGTCGAGAAGAAAATAATTTTTTGAAAGGGCTTTCGCGAAACAATCGCGAATAAGGTCGATTCTTTCGCTCGAAAGATTTCAACGACCTTCCTTCGTATCGTTCCTTTTTCTTCTCACATTGCATCGCTTGACACGCACGCACGCGCTCACATTTCTAAGAAATAATACAGGTTTTAATTAAGTTCGATAAGAGGATATTCTTCGCGTAACCTTACGGAAGTCGACTTTCTCCCACGCGCTAATTAACTTCGTTAAACCTCTTCTCTGCACATGACCTCTTCTTTTCCGTCTAAGTGTAACTCAATATTCAAAGGAATAAGTTGGAAAAGAGAAAGAGAAAGAGAGCTCGAGCATCTTATAAATTTCCTTAGAAGAAGGAACGAAACCGTAATTGGTATTTATCAACGAGAGAATACATTTTCTCAATTCTTTTCGCTGTCGAATCCAACGAAAGGAAATAAAGTAATAAGAGCGAAGGCCGAGCACGAAATCGCAGCCAAGCTAATTTTGTCTACCGATTGAATTTACTCTGTTAGATACACACAACAGACACGTTGTTCCAATAAGCTTAGAAATCGATAGACGTTCGGTCGAAAACAAAAGCATTCTAACGGATTTAACAATAAGTCTTACGTTCCAAATTGGCGCCATTTATTCGGACGATTTTAGATCGAAAACAAGTACTTAATTACTTATTTACTTACGTACAATGTCTCATCGCTTATTCGATATTCGCGAATACGTCTCTGGTTTCGATGTTGACGCTCGTTAGTACAAGAGCGTCCCTAATTAACATACCAATCGGTACCTTCAACGACTATAGAGAAAGAGAGAGAGAGAGAGAAGGAGGGGAAGGGATTAAATCCACAAACAAGGGAAACATATATCAATGACAAGCGGAAGATCATCGATACATAGGTCGACCCGATGTACTTCGAAATCCATTGGCCGAGATCCAATGAAGAATTCAGTGTGGGAAAATGTGGAAGTATGAAACTTCCGAGTGGATTTCCAGTTTATACGGGCCACCACCACTCGTGTCACGTTTCGAGAGTCATTAAGGAAAAAAAATGGGAGCCAACCAATCGAACAGAAGCGTACCTACTCCAGGAGAAGAAGGTATTGTCCTTGTCGTTTCTTTTTTCTCTTTTTCCATTTCATTTCTTTGCGAATAGAAAGAAGAAAAAGAAGAAGAGGAAGAAGAAGATATACATTTTCATGATTAAAATCAATAGTAAATAACTATCGACGTATATACGAATTTCACCAAGTCGCAAATATTTCGGTTCATGAATTTAACAAAGAGAACGTACCAGTTCGTTTCAACCACATTACTCGAGCGGAGCGTTATTAAAAAGAAAGAAAAAAAAAAAAAAAAAAAAAAAAAAAAGAAAAAGAAAACACTTTTCTTTCTCTTACTTTTTATTTTTCTTTTTGTTTTCTTTTATCATCAACAATCGTTGATATTCGAAAATGCCTATGCATCTCGTTTTATTCGATATTTCGTTCTATCAGTATGATCATAGATTTGAATATGGTTAAAGATATGCTAGATTCTTTTCCTTTAACATGGAAAGTAGAGCTCGTAGATACGAATTCCTACGGTATTTTGCGTTAAAATTCATGAAAAACGTGGATATCAGCTAACGTCGCGACATTTTTCTTCGTCGAAACTTCTACGAATATTTTTACTACAACATTACCACATATCTGTTACAGTGAATTTCGATCACTTTGAAATTCTACGTGCTATAGGCAAAGGAAGTTTCGGAAAGGTATGTTGGAAAAATATTTTAATATCTATTAAAACGTTAACGGAGGAATGAACGTTGTTATAAAAGTGCTTGATCAATTCGTTTGAAAAAAAGAGACCGAGCGTAACGGATTTTTATTCGTCCATCGGACCGAATGATATTGGCAAATTTATCTGACGTAATACGTCGTAATTTATTATATATTTCTTTTAATATTTTTTCGTTTTCATTTTTCTATAGAAAAATACTTTGCAATATTCGTCGAAATTCGTAGATATATGTGTATAAAACGATCGCGTTTTTCCGAAATGAAAAATTGCATCGAATAGGATTTATAGTCTCGTTTGCTATATGCAGTAATATGCTCAGAGCATCGCGAGATTCGTGTTATGACCTTCCGAAAACAGCATACGATGTAATCGATCTGTGAATCACGAAATTCGAATGCCCCAACTTTACTTGTACCGCTTATGATAAATGTATCGGAGCATAGATGGGATCGTATTAACGCGACCGCGAATAATTAAAATACAATCACGTTGTTGGTAATGATCGTTTGAACGACGGAAATAACAGGCGATACATTTTCGTGCCACCGAATTTCCATTTTCTCTGAAGGTTTCGAAGAGATTAAATCTCGTAATTACGTTCATGTAACGATGTTGAAAAAATAAAATAAATACTGACTTCGTAAATTAACGCGTTTATTACCAAATAGTATCTCATCCGTACTCAATTATGCTAATATTATTAAAAACTTCATTCGTAATATTTATTTATTTACATATTGAGATATCATTAAAGAATTAATCGATTGACTTGTATTTACATACAAGATTGGATCGATGAATCCTAATAAGAGGTATGTATATATAAAAATAAAATATATAGGATAAAATTTTATTCTATATATTTTTAGAAAATTATAAAAGATAGGTAGAGGGAAGATAAATTTCGATGGATTTTTATCAAAGTTAATGACCCGCCGACAAATCGGAAAGTCGATTAAACGAATCAGGGATGAAGAAAATGTTGCAAAATGCCGTTAATTAAGCACTTGATTTTAGTCCCGCTTCTCTAATCGATTTGTTCTTGGCAATATTCCAAATCGGATATTAAAAAACGAATGAATTCTCTTCGTTCTTCAGGTTTGCATAGTGCAAAAGAGAGACCGTACAGGCAACATGTATGCGATGAAATACGTCCACAAAGGAGAATGTGCGGAGAGAGGAGCATTAAAAAATGTCGCGAGAGAGGTCGAAATTCTTTCCAAATTGGAACATCCGTGTCTGGTGAATCTGTGGTTCAGTTTCCAAGGTAAGCTGTTCTTTTAATTCTAGAATTTCATTCGAACGAGAAACTTTAACAAAATAATATATGTATATGTGAGAGAAAAAGATGGAGAATGGGGGAAGAAAAAATGAAAGAACGAAATTACAAATTATCATCGATTATTTCTATTCCCAGTACAACACATCTTGGCACTTACAGAAATTTACTTGCTTTTTCGTTAATTCACATTGATATTATCCCTAGATTTTGACTTGAATCTCGAAAGTCGAATTATTACCTTCAACTCTCTAAGAGAAGTTGTATCGTTCAAGTTGACTGATTCTCTCTCTCTCTCTCTCTCTCTCTCTTTTCTTCTTCGCTCTTCCCTTAAAATGAGAGTCTTGAGTAATGCGAAACTTTGGTCGAAAGGAATCTCGCGGAAAGCCGGAAAAACAGAAAGTGAAGTAGGTAGCTATTGAGAGAGCAATTCGTTGGTCTATTAAGATTAACTATTCTAGTCGTTTGAAACATATCTCTCTCTCTCTCTCTCTCTCTCTCTCTCTCTCTCTCTCTCTCTCTCTCTTGCTCTTTGTCATTTCCAGCTGTTTTAAATCGTCTTTCTATTTTGACAAATTATTGTTTGACCATTTACATATTGCACATATCGTTCTTAGTTATCCAAAGTTAGCTTAGTAATACTAGGAGAAGTCATTGTTCAAAGAGTTAAGAGGATAAATGTAATCGTCCGATCTACTCAGAAAATTTATCCTCCTGCTCGCTATACCCGTTTCTAAACGCTCATCGCGATTATGTGCAACGTGAACTTATTGGCGAAAATGTTTACCGTATTATATACTAACGTGCTATTATTAGATGGGACATCGAAAGCCATAGGTAATACTCTTTAATACAAATTCGCTGTCGTTTTAGATAAACATGTTTGTGCAGATGTATCAACATCAATAACAATTTCGTTTTCCCTCTCAGACGAAGAGGACCTGTTTATGGTATCGGATTTGTTGTTGGGTGGCGACTTGCGGTATCACATACAACAGAAAATCGAATTCTCCGAGGAAAGCATAGTTCTTTTCGTCGCAGAGATCGCTCTCGCTCTCGACTATCTACAAAGTCATAAGATTGTTCACAGAGACATCAAACCTGACAATATCCTGTTGGACGAGGAGGGTGAGTATGAGTCTTTTCGCAACATCCAATATCGCTTTATTTTCGCCAAAGCACGTTTTCCGCTATTCGATATGAAAGGACTTAAAAGATAAAAGGAAAACACTCGGTATCACGTATTTTGTTTTAACATTCGTCTCCTCTCTCTTTCTTTATTTAAAGATTCCCCCATTACAATATCGATCTCGAATTTAGAAATTACAACACGTGATAATTCTCAGAAAATTGAGACGAAAATGATATTGCGAACGTTTGCATATCAATGAGAAACGGTTGTTTACCGGCTTGGAAGCAACAAACAACACGTATGTTTTCGTTGGGCAACGTTATGGCAAACAAGCGTACTAATCGAGTATCATGAGAATTGTAATTCGATCGTCGAACTATGCGCAAAATTGGAAAATTGCTTTACCGCTGACTGTGCCAACTTCTCGCGTTGCGAATTTCCTACCGTAACCTCTCGTAACTGGTCCCGCTCTGTTTACGCGAGCATCCGTGTTATATTAAACCTATCTATGTGTATGTATATACGCCTGTGTATGTGTATCCGTTTCTCTACGATTCATAGATCCAGCTATTACTACTACCTTACGTGTATTTCTATAGTAAACTACATATAGATACTCTCGATTTTGTTCGCTTCTCGATTGAAGAAAGATGCTCTATTATTTCTAATAAAAAAGTAAACGAGCTTCCTTCAGGACGACGACGCTTTGTATCATTAAGGTGCAATTTTTCCTACGGGTATGAAAGCAAAATGTTCCTATTCTTGCGAGAATATCTTTACAAGCGCGGTACCTGATTCTCAAGAAGAAAGGAAACTTCCTTTGTTACGCTTTACATCGTTCTCTCTTTTCGTTCGGCATTTCATTAGTTATAAATCACGAAACTCTCTTTGACGTTTACCGAGCGTTCAGAAATTCGCGTGGAAATTTCTAATTCGCCCTCTATTCAATTTCTTTCCTCGTTTTTCTTTCTAACGACGCGTTATATTAAAATTTATATATTCTTATTAATTATAATTAAGTTTCTAACGGAGGAAGAATATTATGTTAAATAATTACATGGAAAGCCTGTAAAAAATTTGCTTAAACTCGCGATAACGATAAATCGCGATAAAATTAATATCTCTCGGTAGACATCTCTATTTCATATATCGATAAATTTGTCTTAATAAAATTTATTAATTCTTAATTGACACGTATCTTCTTCGTTCAAAGAATTTACGGAATCCGTCAGGTGTACGAACGAAGACTAACACCTGCGCTTATTTCTTAAATTTGACAGCTGCGTTGACATTACTTCATCGTATTATGTTAAACTTGTGATAAATCCTACGAACATTATAGTTGCATTCTCCGTAGATATTTTCCACCAATCTTAAGTAGAAAACTTTAAGAGGGAGATATATATATATATATATATATATATATATATATATATATATATATATATATATATATATATATATGTATATAAAGACATCTGTGAAACTCGTTGCGACAAAGAAGATAATAACACCCTTGGACATTTGCGGTCCTACGGAGTGCAGCTGACAGATTCGATGTTTGTTCGCTTCGTCGCTTTCGATAGGATGTACGTACAAGTATAACAAAACTTTTTCGAGGCAAGTTTACTCTTGCAATACGCACACACACACACACACACACACTTATTTACAAGAAATTTTCGAGTAAAGTAGATATAAACTCGAAAAAGAAAGATTGTCATGCCAAAGTTTTCAACATAACTGATAAAAGATATCCCATAAGAAAAGATAGATAGATAATGGTCCAAGTATGGATCGAAAATGTAAATAGTCTCTTTGCATGAGTTAACTAGGAGACGAAACATAGCTCGAAGAACATGTTCGTTCTAGTTCGTCCTACATCCTAGAGACAATGTGTCCCATGAAACTTCCATAATTACATAGTAGGTAAGTACTTGAAATAGACTTCGACTTGGAATTAACGAGAAAGTTGAAATTTTGTCTTGTTAAGTATTCGAACATCTTTGGTTGAATGTTAAATGAATCGCAAGAGTTTATGGAGTTTAAGGATAGATAAGATATTAAATAAGTAAAACCATTTTAGTTAAGTAAGAAAGGGTCAAAGAGGGAACACGCTAGAAATACTTTACCAGGGTGTGATTCGTAATTCGTTTTATTCGTTCTCCTTTTAGTCCTTCGTATTTATTCTGCTCACGAATCACTCTCTCCCTTTTTCAAAGAAATTATATTCGTGGACAGTAGTTTCGTGATCTTAAAGTATTATGTTAAATAAAAATCTATACCCAATGAATAAAATATTTTTAATTAACTATTCAAAACCTATGAATTTCCACGGAGGAAATCCTTTTAAATGGTCTTTTCTTTTCTTTTTTTTTTTTTTTAATTATTATTTAAATATGGCAAAGGAATAAACTTGACCTTCATTGTTTTATCTTTGAATTTTCATTAATCATTCATTATTACAATATTTCTTCAGATTCGCATTTGTACATACTGTTAGTCTGATAGGTACGTACTTTTAGATAACGCGACGATAGTAGCTAGTCGACTAGGAAATAGTGGGATATTTTCATATCCTGATGAGATATGGAATGTTTGCTATAATCACACAACTTATACAAATCACCTTATTCGTTACTATCTCGTCACCTCTCTCTCTCTCTCTCTCTCACACACACCCACACACATACGCACACACGCACACAAACACTCTGTGTAACAAAGTGGCGAATTATGCGAAGCCGAGAATTTCCGAGTGGAGAAGAAAGTCGAGGCCGAATTTTTTCTATAAATATCTCACGAAGAGAGTAAACACGTTGACCGATAATAAAAAGAGAATAAAATAAAAAGATAATTCAATGAGGCGTATAAAGAAAGACAAGATAAAAACTACATTAATTCGTGTTTTGTTGTTGGCAGGTGTGGTGGTTTAAACGGATGGTGTTAAGTGTTTCTCTTGTGAAATTCTACTCCGGCCACTACGTAGAACATAGTTTCGATCGATAAAATATACCTCCATGTACGTAGATATAAATCTCACTAAACCGCGTTTAGTAATACAACGAGACTACTGGTCGTTACTGTGAACAAAAGACGAGTAAAGAGTTGACGATGATGATGATAATAAGATATATGTATTTTATGAATCAAATTAATACGAGAATGATAATTTTGAATCAACATATTCATAGAAGTTGCATTCGTTATTTCGTCATATGATAAAGGTCGATAGTCAGAAATTCCACATACTGACGTTATTTAAAATATATTCATCTTCACGTACTCCTCCTCTCATAAGGAAATTCTCTAGCGAAGTGAAAGAAATTCTTAGCGTACCGGTAACACGCCGAAGATAGCGTCGCCGAGCGTTCATCTTCCTTTAGCTTTTTCCTTTTAAATCAAATTACTTACTAAAAGAGAAAAAGATGTCGATCGGATCGTTTGAAAAAATTGATTGGATCGTCTCGAAAAAGAAAAAAATCAGAATGAAATTATCGACTTTTTTTTATTATACGTTTAAAAAAGGATCCTTTTTAACGGCATAGTGAAGATGAAAAAATAAACGGAGTCTATATAAAATGTAAGAAGTCCTTCGAAGAAAAAAGCTGTATACTGCGTTTTCATATCTCAGACGAGTACCTAAAACTACCTAACCCTAACTTCTTCTATAGTATCTTCCCCTACTGACTGTTTGAATTTTGAGATTGCGTCTGCATAATTTACAATTAGACTCGTATACTATGTCGTCGCCATTTAAGGTCCCTCTCAACGTTTTCGTTTCCCTTTCGCGTTTCTTCTTTCTCTCTCTCTTCATCTTTCAACACTTAAATCCCTATCGTCTTAACTATCGGGACTAGGTTTCTCTCTTATTCGAAACATTTTGCAATTTCCTTCGTGTGTGTGTGTGTATGTGAAGAAAAATCACAGACATCTTTCGAGAAACTCGCTAATACGTACTGTCGTTCGTAAAAAAAATAAGCGTCCGTTCGAGTAATAAAAATTGACACAAAGAGATAGCTAAAATTTCTAGAAAAATGTCGACATCTTTCTAGACAAATATACGAGTTTGATAATGTGATCGTTCCTTTATTAGAAAATTTGAAATTTTCCAAGATTACATTGGATCTCCGTGACATTCAGATTTAATAAAACGTACTATTCTCTTATTCCTTGCACAAACTTTACCGAGATAGATATGTACGTATATCACCTTTACGACTCTATCAAAAGAAAAATGTGATATGTTAGAGAAATTGCTATCGTTTAAAATAGTTTACGACGTAATTTCTCGATAAAGTGTAAATCCGTTGGATCGTATATCCTTTGAAAAGGAAAACGCTTAAAGTTCTTCCCAAGAAATAGAAGATATAGAACGATTGATCTTTAAAGGATTTTCTTCGAGTTCCCAATGGATCAGGAAAATCTCGATATATTTTCGAGGCTTTGTAAAAGTACAATTACACTGAGAGCAGCGTGGAAAGAGCGTAAGAGATCTTCGATCTCCATCAACTTTGAAGGATAAATGTTTAGAAATCGTAAAGATTTAATTTTCTGATAAAGCCTGTCTCCTTTACCGAATATCTTCACAGTCCTATCTTACTTCGATCTATATGTAAAATTAAAAAAAAAAAAAAAAAAAAAAAAATACAGTCGGAAAATTAATTTCTTACATTTACAAGAGTAATTAATTTCATCCTAACGAATGAGGTCAAAAGTTGTATTATCTTTCGAGCTACTAATTAGAAGAAAGTAGAATACCGTTTTAATGTCCCGTGTATTTGAAAAAATATTATGACGAGGGAAGGAAGTAAAAAGCTCAAGCATGATGGTTGAATAAAGAGAAAAAAGAAAAAAATATTTTGAAAAGTTTTTTAAACGGTATTAAAATAATATTGCTATCGGATATAAAATAAAGTTAAATAATATTTTAGAGTTTAGCAAAGCGAATGCTTTCAAAAAGATCTTTAACTTGGTTGCTTTTAAAAAGGGCATGCACGCGTGACGGACTTCAATATTGCCACTGAATTGGAGGATGGACAATTGGCAACTTCGATGTCAGGCACGAAGCCGTACATAGGTATGTATGGAAAAAAGTCAGAGAAAATATGAGAAAAGCACGTCGTTGTTCTCACGTCACAGATATCCGCTAAATATTCGTAACACGTAGATAGGTAGGTGGGTAGGTAGATATATACATATATATATATATATATATATATATATTTATATATGCACTCAGAGAGAACGCATGAGAGCTAGAACGCGTCGAACACGCTCGTAACATTTCCCATTTCTTTTTCTTCCAATATGAACCTGCGTCAGCGCCAGAGATTTACATGTGCTCGTGCGAGGAATACGGTGTCCTTGGCTATGGATTTGCCGTCGATTGGTGGAGTTTGGGAATTCTCGCTTGGGAGACTTTGGCCGGTGAACGTCCTTATCCTCTTCACTCAACGACTTCTTACAGAGAGGCTCTGAGGATTTTGCAGGTAATCAAAGATAATAGTCGATTTAACGCGCTCCCTGCGGTGTCGATCGTGCCGGACTTTTCATTGGCTTTCATGGACTTTGACAAGAATTGAATACGTATTTACGACCCAATTAATTATTTTATCGGATTTCCTTCATCATTGAGAAAAATAACGATCGATCTGAATTGTATAGATCGCAAGGAAAATTTTATTTTTCATTGTTACTTCGGCAGATTTCTTTTTTTCCTTATCGTTAATGCTCTTTCGAACTGTTATCGCTTCAGGAAGAAAGGGGAAAGCCATCTCACTGGAGTTCTGCAATATGCGACCTCTTAGACAGATTGTTAACTTTAGCACCAGGTGCTAGGGTCTCGACTTTAAAGGAACTCAAGCAGATTGCAGTGATAAGAAGTTTGGACTTTGATAAAATATTGAACAAACAGATAAAACCACCCTTTGCGCCACCAAAGGATCATCTCAATTGCGATCCCACGTTCGAACTCGAGGAGATGATTATCGAGGCGAAGCCATTGCATAAGAAAAAAAAACGTTTGACCAAACAAAGGTAATTTATTTCGTGTGAAAATAAATTGATTCGTACGATTATCGATATAATCGGCAGTAAGAACGAAAAAAAAAAGAAAAAATCATCGAGATGCAATTACGTTTGTGTTTCGAATCGATTCTCGTAGATCCATCAGAGCCGAATCGACGGCAGACGATGCTGTGAAATTTGCGGAAGGTGACGGTGTGGATCTAAGAAGATTGGCCTTTATCCCAGAATATCGCGTGTACAATCGTGAAAGAGAAATGGAGAGATTGGAGAGGGAACGAAAGGAGAAACAATGGGAGGAGGAACTGAACACTGCCATGATGGGTGCCGATGAGACGCCAAAGTATGAACCGAATTACTTCAAACGATAATCCAATTCCAACAAAATCGTTCTCATCGTGCGTTTCGTATAATAAAAAGCTTTTACAATCTGTTCCAATGAGGAGACGATGAAAATTTTACGATTTCGACATTCGGAAAGTGCGCATGCAACATGCATAAGAGAATTATATCAGCAGTAAATCTCATTTATGTACGCACGAACGTGCTCGAGTTTACATCGCCCAATGAAATTACATCCGTTGCTTTGGTAATTTGTTGAAAGACATTAACGGTACCTATCTACGTTGATTATAATCCTCATCATTATGTATTCGTTTTTCTTTTTAATCTTTTCTTTTAAGGATTTCAAATCTCCTATTGAAATTATGCAAATCGCTGAACGAGAAGGATACAATTTGATGCTGAATACGATTAGAGATTATCAGAATTTTGGATTTTGTGTTTTCAGCAGGAGAGAAGAACAGCAACAGCAAGAGCAACAGCAACGCCAACAGCAACAACAACAGAAAGCACAGAAAAGTGGGAACAGATTGAACGTCTCGAACGTGAAAGCTCGAATCAGTGTTTCTCCTAGACTTAATCGAAGGGCGAGCACTGCGACGTCCTCCGACATCGATTACATCGATGCCAGCCCTGAACCATCTACATCTTAATTAACTCAATCATTTTTTACAGGAATCTTAGAAAACAACAGTGTCTATAAGATATAAATCGTGTTTGATCGGTCGATCACATAACAATTACCATTATCGATCAATATATTCCATAGCTTTGCGTAAAGATGATCGTGCAAAAAACGCTGTAATATTAATTTAAAGTAGATACTGATTAGGTTTGCATTTTGAATAGTAGATCTTTTAGAGAAAATAAATAATAGGGATCATTAGTAGAGACGGCGAAAGATTATGAAAGATGTTTATAGAATCGATCCACACGTTATATACGCCAAGTGGAAAAGATTTCTTTTAGAATTTATTTAATGAAACGATTGAATCTCGTGTAAATACACTTTGCCGATTCATCGTTTCCTTTCCAAAAAGTTCCTTATTATTTATAGTTTAACATTACTACGTCGCATTGTTAGAAAATTCCTCGAGTACATTGCTAGAAATAACAAACAAAATCATTTTCACTAAAAGATATCACGTTTGTAAAAGGTAAATGCGATTCGTGATATGAGAGATATGGCAGACAGGATTCGTAAAGCGAGATCGGAACGGAAGAAAAATCTCCGCTCTCTTCTATAATTGGAATTGATGGATCGAATGCAGACCACGTTTTGTCCGAGAATCGTCAAGTAATCGATAAGAACGGCGCCTAGTCGACTAAACGAAACAACACAAAGAATCTTTTCTCGATTTTCTACGTCCACTTGCGTTCACAAAACGCTCCGCCGTTTTATAAACGTACAAATTATAAAAATCCTTTAACAATAATCAACGTACGTTTTGAATGATAATACTTTTTACTCTTTTCAAATTTTTTTAAACACAATTATTATTTTTCTTTCTCTCCGAGTATTTATACATTTATCAAGCTTATTTCTAGTCAAAATTGCAAAATACATATGTATGTAAAGTATGTATAAAATAGATTGCTGTCGTTAATAATTACGTTGAATTATTCATCATTGTATATAAATGCATACGTATAAAATAGGGGTAAAAAATATAATGTGTTATAACAATGAAAAAGTAACAAATGAAGAAAAGAAGAAAAGAAAAAAAAAAGATATTTTCTTTATACGTAGAATTTGTATACATTGTGACAATTATAAAAACATAGTATGTTAATATATTAATAAAAGTAAATATCATCGTGATGCATTACAACTATATCTTAAAGACAACAAATAATAATTATTAATATCACAAAATATTGCCATAATAAACCTACTTGGTCATTATCAAACACGCAAAATCGAGTTTACATCTTTTTTGTATATCGCGTAAAAAATGGAAGCCCACTGTACGTGTCTAAAAGCGATTTTGCTATATCATGGAAGTATATTTTTCTAAGATTAGATTTCAAAAATGTTACGTCTTTCGTGTGAAAATATTCGTTCAGAAAAATCAAGTATTTCCTTTCTTCTTACATAAGTGACAAAAATGCAGCTTCTTATTTCCACATGTACCAATTAATGTATAAACTAATGCAGCAGCTATTGTCGTCATTCGATAAATGTCACAACTTATTATCGCAGATACGAGTCCTATCTAATATTAATTGCCTTGGCTCTCCCAACAACTCAGAAAAATAATTTAAATCTATTCTCTATCTTTAAGTATTCTTTACGTGATCACAGTAAATTTATATATAGAAAATAAAGATTAAGAAATTTTACATTAGATCGTTCCAAATGAGTAATTCAAATAAGAACAAAATGGATTAACTTAATAACAAAATAATACATAGCTTTTGCTTGCATAAATAATATGCATAATAAATAATAGATTAAAAAAAGTTTACTTGCAAATCCAAGGATAAATCATTAAGTATTTATATTTCACATAAAGCTGATTCAGACTTATAATAATCTTTAACTCGAAATTTACCATTAAATTCAATCGAATTATCCAATAATATGTAATAATGTATTTTGAAGTCATCACAGTATAATAATCATACGAGGGATCTTTAACATCTTCCTATTCTCACCTTTCGTTAATTAAAGATATTAGAAAAATATTCTTTCGTAGAACAATATAACAAATTTAAATCTAAATTCTGATTTCAATTATTATTGCGATAGAAAGCAAAATATTCTTTTTTTCTTTTATAAACTTATATAACGTCTTTCAAATGATTTCTGCTTTATATACGGGAGTCGTCCTCGTCGAAATAAATTTACTTATAAAATATTTGTTAATAAAGTAAACATTTCCAAGTCTTATTTATACAGCCGAGACATCTGTTACTTCAATTCTTGAAATTGGTTTCGCAGGTTCCACGATTATATTTGTCGAATCACCGATACGAAGCTGTTGTAAATTTGCTACTATGGAATCTACCTGAACTGGTTGATCCGGCGATATATTTTTACCTTTGAGTTTGTTAAAATGAAGATAACAAATACCACGATAACCTTGCCAGACTATTTCATTTGGCTTAACTCCGCGTTCTAACAAAGCATTTTTTAAATCGCGTACCCGTACACTGTACGAGATATTCGATAATTTTAACGAAAAGTCAATATTTGATTTCAGTCTTGAGTTAGCATATTTTCTACGTTCATTACTTTTTTCGAGTATTACTTTTTTTCCCTTAAAAAAAAAAAAAATTACAATAAAAAGATTGGTATTAACTAACTTAACGACGAAAGAATAATAATTTTACCTCTTTGTCTTTAAAAGAAGGATCAATATTTTCTTCTTTTTTTATCTTTCTAGAATATCTCTTTTTTGGAAATGATCTTTTTATCTCCTTACTATCTTTTTCCTCAGGAGAAGAGTCTTCTTTCTTAAATGGAAATTGATTCGGATTGGAACGTTTTTTATGCTTCAAACGTTTAGTGTGATTTTTGTAATATTGTTCTGTTTCCGTATCGGAATCTATTTCCTTTAGAATTACTATCTTTCCTTCTCTGAATAGAAAATAAATGTTATGAGTATAATTATGAAAATTGATTAGAAAAAGTATCCTACATTAAAACATACTTCTCATCCATTTCTTTGAACTGTCTTAACACTGGCATAGTTGTAAGTTTTCTTTGGCTAAGCATTTCCCATATAATGCCAGAATATTTTTTCACTTTTTGTTGGACTATTATTGTTTGAGTTGGTGTAATTATTATATCCACAGGTACATCGTGCTCTTTGAACAACTGGGATGGAAGATCATCTACTATTTGACAGTCATGTACAGTTGTAATAATCTTAGTATTTTGTGTTATTGCACCCATTCGCACCATCATTGCAAATTCCAAATCTGCAAAACCCTCTCCTTTACCAAGCCTGTACCCTTCTCGACTGACACACACAGAACCTAATACAACTAAATCTACCTATATGTGTGTGTGTATATATATATATATATATATACACACACACACACACACACACACACACATATATATCAGTGTGTAAAATTTTCAATATAAATTTTTCTCTTTTCTTTAAGAAAAACAATTACATACCTTCACATTTGAATCAACTCCAATCGGTTTACCAACTTGTTTCAAGCCATATATCGTTGAAAGAGTTTTCAATTCTGCATTTGTTGCACCAGCTATAGACGTAACGCGAAGAAACAGACCAGAACGTAATCTTGGAATAGGGACAAGTATCTCTTTATTAGCTACCAGAGCTAAATATCTTACTGGCTTTTGTGGTTTGTCTGGACTGATTTCTATAGTTTTTGCTCTCTTAAATTCTTCCAACTCCGTTAAACGCTGAGCTGCCTTTGTGGCACCTTTAAAGTTTGGAATGCGATTATGAATATCAAGTGGAAAGCTTACTAATCCATTTTTTTTCATATAATCCCACATTTTGAATCTGAAACTATATTTGGTCACCTCTTCGGCTGAAAACAAATATTATTTATTATATAATAATTGTTTGGCGAATTAATTGCGAAACAATAGAAAAAATTTAATATCAACATCAAATAAACAGAGCATATAGAAAAATGAACAACGAAAAATGTAATATTGTGTGAATGAACTTACGCAGTTTTTCGTCCGCCATAATAAAAAATTATACTACACGATCCTTGAATAACAATTATTAAATTAAACGATCCATAAAAGAGAGCTCATAAATTTTTTCTTACTAAAATAGCACGATTTGTCTGTTGCTTTATCCCTTCCACTATTCTACTTCCATAACAACGTTATCATGTTAAGAAACATAGCAAGTCAAAATTCACTAGAAATGTTAAGTTAAAAAAACAAATATTTTGATAGAGAAGGCAAATTTATTACAATCTACAAAGAAAAGCAAACAAATGTAAGATGTTGAAACATAAATTACATTTATTTTCATGCATTTTCATCATTTACGCATTAATCAAAATATAATTTTGAATACTCGCGGTTATTGCCGAAAGATACAACGATTACCGAAAGTAGCCGATGTTTGGCAATCCAATGTCTAAGTACGTATAACTAAGTGAAGGGACCATTTCTTTTTGAAAATATATCGTCCGAATAGAATTAAATTAAATGCTATTCTAATCTCTCATTATTTCATATAGTTATAAATTTGTACGCGTTTGCGAATAAATTTGCTATCAAGAATCTTATTTTCTACTCAATCTTGAATATTCCAAAATTATACTTTTATTTTAATTAATTGAAGGTCGTAATATACGTTCCTGGTAGTACGTGAAGAATAAGAGCGACAGTAGTACCTTCTTTCATCGTAAAAATGGCTTTACTAGCGAGAAACATTTGCAAGGTACTTTCTCAGGTAATGGAATATTTTTTTTTTTTTAAATAAAAGAAAACCTTTTTGTCTTACAATAAGTTCTAGTCTAAGTTCTTCTCAACTTTCTCATAAAATTAACTATTATTCCCTCTCCCAATTAATTCGATAACGTGGAAAATTTATAACAAGGGTATTACATCAACAACGATGTGTTCTTCATTATTAGAATATTTTCGATATTACAAGTAATTGTTACTCTGACTGAATATATTTTCGTACAGTTAATAAATTTCATTGATTTCAGTATCGCAAATTAGATTATTTCGGACATATTTGAATAATAATACGTTTTACGTTTACATCATTATTGTATCCTACTGATATTGGCAAATACTTTTAAAAGATTATTTTGAAAAAATATAATTTAAATATGTATTTGGATTATTTGTATTTTTGTTGTATTAACAGACTGCCCAAAAGGGAGCTATTAGGCCCTTACATGTAGGAGCAATCCTTCATCAAGAAAATGTAAGTTTTATGATAAATTGTCCATTTATTCTTGTATCTCCATCACGCTTCTCCTTTTAGATAGTCGAACAAGAAGGAAAAGTAAAATGTACTTTAATTCCGGGAGATGGTGTAGGACCGGAATTGGTATTATCTGTCCAAAATGTTTTCAAAGCAGCCAATGTTCCGATTGAATTTGAACCTTATTTTTTATCCGAAGTAAATCCAACATTGAGTGCACCACTTGAACAAGTTTCAAACAGTATTGCCAGGAACAAAGTTTGCTTAAAGGTATAAATATTCGTAGACATTGTCTTTTTATTGCGTTCCTTTAAATACATTTTTTTTTTGCTTCTTCCATAGGGTATTTTAGCCACACCAGATCATTCGCATACAGGAGAACTACAAACTTTGAATATGAAATTACGCAGAAGTTTAGATTTATATTCAAATGTAGTACATGTAAAATCACTGCCAGGTGTCAAGTCTCGTCATCAAAATGTAGATTGTGTTATCATCAGAGAACAAACGGAAGGTGAATACTCTGCCCTGGAGCACGAATCTGTCAAAGGAGTTGTAGAGTGTTTAAAGATAGTGACAGCAACGAAAAGTCAAAGAATTGCCAAATTTGCATTTGATTATGCAGTTAAAAATAATCGTAAAAAGGTAACTTGTGTTCATAAAGCAAATATAATGAAATTAGGTGATGGCCTTTTCCTTAAATCATGTCAAGAAATTGCCAAATTATATCCTAGGTGAGGATGAAAATATATAATACATTTTATTGCATGCTATTTCTAGAAAAGTATATTTTCAACGTATTATATTTCTTTATTTGTAGAATTACATTTGAAACTATGATCGTGGATAATTGCACTATGCAAATGGTATCCAATCCTCATCAATTTGATGTTATGGTGATGCCTAATTTATATGGCAATATCATAGATAATTTAGCATCTGGATTAGTCGGCGGTGCTGGTGTAGTCCCTGGTGCAACGTACAGTGCAGAGTGTGTAGTTTTTGAACCGGTAAGATTATATTTATAATAATAATAAATATTTGTATATATGTTACCGTCTAATATGTATATATAATACAGGGTGCAAGACATACGTATTCCGAAGCTGTTGGTAGGAATGTTGCTAACCCAACAGCCATGCTTTTATGTGCTGTCAAGTTGCTACATCATGTTAACTTGAAACGTTATTCCGAACAAATTCGAGATGCATTAAATAAAGTTTTAAATGATGGAAAAGTTCTTACAAAGGATTTAGGTGGCCAAAGTTCAACAACAGAATTTACAACTGCAGTAATAAATTATCTTCATTAATAATACTCAAAGTATTTGATTTGAAAACTAAATTTAACAAGGATTATGTAATATAGAATCTGTCATGAAAGCCGTACACATCTATAGACATTTGTAGTATCTATAGACTATCGTAGAGTTTATTTTACATATAATATTATATTACACGTTTATTTATTAAAAAATACATTTTACGTAATTGGTCAAACCAGTAACGAAGTTTAACAAGTGTACAGGAAATTTAGCTTGAAAAGCTTATTTGTCTATAAGGCCGTATGTAATTTTAGTAAAGTCTATGTATTGTTAAATGTGATTATAAGTATAATTGAAAAACTATCTGATTGCATATTATAGAGTTATATATACAAATATATATATATATACTAAATTGTATAATAAATTACACTACCTCACGCAGTATTTGTATCGTTAATATTTTTAAAAGAATAGAAATCATTAGTTATGGATTAATACAATTTCTAATTTCTTATCACGTTCATGTATGATCGATAATATTTGAAGTGAATTTATTAAGTTCTTTCATCATACCTAGTTATATAATGGCACATGCCAAAGACCCGTTTTAAAGCGAGGACATGCTTTCTCGAACTTTTGCAAAAGATTTACTTTCTTTGAAGAAAATCATGTGTCGATGTAATGTTTTCTTATTAATGACATCACGCATAAATTATTGCTTTCGTAGTTCATATTTTGTCCATAAATGTCGCTGAAGTCGCACGCTCTTCGAGCGCCATTTTGTATGTCTCAGTAGGTAAGTGTAGACTTTTTTTCTCTGTCGGTATTCCTAGTAGGTATTTACAAGTAGCAAGCGTACTTGTATACGTATGCAGTATAATCAAAACTATGGATATTAATAATCATACGGAATTAATACGACAAGAGATAATAAAAAATCACCTACAATTCAGTGCTTTAATACAAGTAAACACTAAAATTTTTTGTCGTCAAATTCGTTCAAACACATAACCTCAGTTTGTAATTGTTTATTACACTTATATGAAAATCTAATTCATAGGATATACAACAATGTACTGGCCCTTTAGAATTACTCAATGAACTTAATGCAGAAGGAAGGGAAAAAATTACAGCATTAAGATCCAGTATAGATAAATTAACTTCTCTAGCTGAAACCGAAATAAATGAAAAGGAAAGAACGGAATTGTTAGCTGAAGTTGAAACATACAAAAAACAGTTAACTGCATCTCTTGGGACATTTCGTAAAGCCAATGTCATTAGTGCATGTATCATAGATAAATTGGCAAGAGAGGATTTACTTTCAATATCTGAAGAACAACAAAATGCTCTTCGTAAAAGACGGGATAAGCAGGGTTTAGCAAGCGCATCTAATCAAGTGACAGACAAACTATTAAGTATTTCGAGACATTTAGCTGAAACTACTCAGAAAAGTGGGGACACATTAGACACACTGTGTATGAACACAATTAAAAATTGGATTATTCATTTTATTTATATCTCTCATATAGAACAAGCTAATTTATACTTTTTGTTTTAGTAACATCATCCGACAAAGTGTCTAGTACTAAAAATGAATTAGAACATCAACAGCAGGTCATAGTACAATCGGGAAAGTTATTAGGGAAATATGGTAGAAGGGAGGTTACAGACAAAGTGCTACTTGTTTTAGCATTTGCTTTTTTCCTTGCTTGTGTCTTTTATATTTTACAAAAGCGACTGTTTTGAAGAGGTACAAATGGCTTCTACATTAGTTATATCAATATATAAGACAATTCCAAATCTATTCCTTACTTTATTTATAATATAATGATCGTACGATCTATGAAGTACGGCGAAGTGATTACTCGTTAGAGCGAAATTTTATGATAATTTTTATTTATTATGGGATCAAATTACATTTTTACAAAATAATTGATTAAAAAAGGATCAGTCAGATATATAATATTTGTACTGAATTTATAAAGGATATTAGAGCATATATTTTAGGTACTATGGACATTGTTTTCAGTCTATGTTACCACCAAAAATTATTAAATTCCGTCAGTTGATTTTGAATAAGAGTATCCTGTAAGAAAAAGATAATGACTTTTTTTCTTAAAGAATATTACATTAAATGTCTTTCTATCATTTTTTGTCAGTTAAAGATTTTGCAATAAAAAGTAATAATATTATTTATTATATAATTAAACTCTAATAATTGCTCGTACATTTTTGCAGCTGGCTATGAATTCCTCTATGGATATCATTCCGTCCTTATCAGTATCCATCTTTTCAAAAAGTCTGTCCACGTGCCTGTTTACCATACTCCAAACAGTTTGATCATTGTTTACCATTTCATAAATTGCAAAGATAGCGGTGATCATCTCGTGTTTCGAGATCCAACCGTCGCCATTCAAATCATAAAATCTAAAAGCAAGTAAGTTGACGAAGTTGAAAATATTCCAAACGCGTCTCATTTTACGATCTTTTTCGATCTCACGGTGAACACAATGTATTCTTACTGAAATATCCATCTAAGCTTTTCATCGGTAGTTCCTTTTACGATCGTCGCTATTCCTAGAAGCAAATCTCCAAAGGTGACAATGCCGTCCTTATCTTTATCAAAATTATTGAATACCATTTGTGCATATTTTGCAGAATCACCCAGTGGAAAGAGTTTCGCATAGGCTGGCTTGATATCATTGGTAGTAACGGTTCCTCTTGGACAATACTGTTTGAAAGCACGATATAGTCTTTGTATCTCTTCCTTTGAAAATCCTGTACCGTGGATCAAAGAAGACAATCGTTCTGGAAGGACGTACGTTTCCTGCTTTTCTTCGTCCTGAAAATTCTCTGCGAATATATATACGCGATAAGAAGAGATGGGGATAGAAATTCGAAAGGAACTTCATGTCACATTAATTATCTTAATAATTAATGCATCTTATAATATATACCGGTTATTCTTTGAATGCTCTTTTTAACTTTTTTAAGGCTACGTTGCATTTTCCATGACAAGCTAGGTCGACGCGGAACTTCCGATCTATCTTGATCACAATTATAGGACATAATCGTATTTATGAATGATTACCCTCAGTTAATGGGCATCATTTCGTTTCAGAGAAGCCAGGCGCAAAATTACAAAGAAAAACAAATAAATCAATATAAGAATCGTTAATGGCTGATTTGCAGATCCGATATAACAAAAGTTTTTATCGTCACATTAAAACATGTGTTTGACAATTAGTATAAAAAATCGATTGATCGGTTCTCTTCCGATCGCGCTTATTTTGTTTCAAAGTTGCCTTTGGCGGTACTCCAAAGAGAGAGAGAGAGAGAGAGAGAGAGAGAGAGACGGTGACGTCGCATTAAAAGAATCGGTGATTCGTTAAAGCCGGCCGCCGCAGACGAAAGCGCAGAAACCGTCTCAATCGCGAACTGAACGGAACTGACGCACGTGGCATCGATGACCCTTGCTGTTGACTATGAGAAGCGGTTTCGAGGAAACCAGTCGCTAAAATATTTAGACGATTCCTCGTGACCGTGCTTCTCTGCTAGATTTTCAACGATATGCCTGGCTCTTTGAGCAGGCACATTGCCACGAAACGTATTAAAGAACGTTTGAAATCTTAAGAGCCTTTAAACGATTTCCTTGTTTTATTTTCAAGTTTTCTAATATCGTATTTAAAAGCACGTAAATAATTCCAGTAATTTTCCGTTCATTCTGTTTTTATTTCTTTTCGTACTTCTTGACAATATATAGATATTGTTTTATCAAAAGAACGTAGCGACCACTTGATATTCACTCGTGCAAAGTTATTCCTTCGGAATACAAATAATTTGCACATGCACGATGGAGGGATTTCTTTGTTACATTTAATTCATATATTCTCGAGAACGTTCCTTTCGACGAGGAAATATATCTTGAAATGATAAAAAGAAAAAAAAATTGATAAATTTTTTATTCCGATCTAATAATTTTTTCTTTTCATCCTAGAAAGATGACCGTGAAAGTTATTGTTATCAATGGTCGAGATTCGTCATTGCTAACCCTGTCATATCTAATAGAGGTTTCTTTTTTCTTTTCATCCTAGGAAGATGACCATGACCAATTATTCTTATCAACGGTCGAGGTTCACCATTGCTAACTCTGTCACAATCAATAATGATCCATACGATAAATAGACATATTTCCAAGATATGTACTCGTTACCGAATTATAGAAAATCGGATTGCGGTGAACTGCTTCGGATAAAACGTAAGAGTAGACTTTCTCTGCCAAATGCTATTAATAGTTTAGTACCCTGGAAACCAGCTATTACGGTAATAGGAAATGATAGTACTAGTTTAGCGGGATTAGCTTACTTTAAACTGTCTGGATACTTTATGATGCGGACCGTTCCTATTTAAGGTCTTCAAATTTACAAAAAACTTTTATTGCTTGCGAACAGTTTTTAAGCGAGTAATATAAAATGATTTCACATGTACACGCACATGTAACAAAACAAACAAAAAATATGAAAAAAAATGTGAATCGATCGATTTACTTAGCTCGTCGATCGTTCAACTATACACGCGAACACATACATAATCTTTATGGATTGTCCTTGACATGATATTTCAATGTAAAAGAGCTATCAATTTTTATTGGTGCGTGTGAAAGATAGGAACCACGGATGGGAATTATGTTTTCGTAAAGACATATGAATGAAATTATATGGGTCACACTGTCTTATCATAATAACTGGAGTATTACCGAGTGCTAAAGAAAGCCATATTGCAGGTGTGTTACGAAATGTAACGCACTTGCATATGGAATGTTAGCTTGTTATTTCAAATTATAGAGTTGGAATGTCTTTCCCGATCGTTTGCCAGATTAGAGGAAACGATATGAGTAATTGCGTAAATTAAATCGGCACCGTTCGCATTATCTTTAAACGATATTTATACGCACGTGGAATACATAAAAGTATTGTTACTACGTCGGATGAATGAAAATCACTCGAACAATGGTCGGAAAGGGACTTCCCCCAAGTTCAATGCTTCAATCAAGTATCCAGTTTTATTCGTCATTTTATTTTCTCCTATAGAACGTCGAGTGAAATCATCTAACAAAAATAATCTTCCTTCTTGCAGGAAATTTTTTTCTATTAGGAATTGTATTAGAAATATAAAAGGCAAAGTATCCTCAAGCACGGATCTGTTGTCAACGAACGAACGTGTTCGCATGTTTAATCGTTACGATTTTTCTGAGCGGTGGTAGGGCAAGCTTGGTATATAAAAGAACAGTAAGCATCCAGCATCTCTTCATTGTGAGAGTGCATTTCTTACCGTGGAAGTTCTAAACTTTTAAATACAGGCTCTCATCTAGGATAAATACCAATTGTTTAAAGATTATTACACGAAAAATTATAGTGCATAATAACAGAAATTAAAGAAAAGTTCATCGATATCAGTTTTATTTTATAAATAACACACAAAAAAAGAAAAAAGAAAAAAAAAAAAAAAGAAAAGAAATAGGAAAGAAAGGAGATAGTGTCGCTGATTATATATTGCTCAGAAAGTGTGAAATTTGAAAGTCACAAAGGAGAGCGTCAAGTACGTGATGTAATATGCCGCGTTTTGACATGCGTTGTTTATTCGTAGCGTATCTACTTTCCCGGCTAGAGGATAATCATTCTCCTCGATTTAATTTATTTTCTTAAGCGATAATAACGTAGCGTATATATTCTAGGTCAATAGTGTCTTGAAGAGAAGAGTGGTGCATAAATTGGAACAGTAATATATTTAGAGGAAAAAAAAAAAAAATAGCATTCCTTTCGCGCCAATCCAAATCCAACGAAGATGAAAACGTTCTTTCTCCTCTCATTATTGATTGGCAATGTTTTTTGCGCGCCATGGTTGGATATACTTTTAGGACAACAACCTTATTCTAATCAGAGATCTGATTATTATCTAAATCAAGGTTATCGACAACGTCAAGGAAAAGCCGGTAAGGAACGTTGGAGAGAAATTTGCAGAACGATAAATCCCGATCCTTATGCATATCCAAGACGCTCATCTTTCCCTGTTCAACCAGTTTGTCCATGGTAATATCTTATGTTCCATCATTACATATTTCAAATTCGTCGTATTGACGTGTTCGTGCCAAATATTAGAGATTAAGGTACACGATTGTTATTAAAAATGTTAGTTTTAAAAATATGAATTTATTACAATAAAATTCTAAATTCTATTTAAAAGTATATCAGTCGATATATAGTTCTTCTATATAAGCATTTACATTTGAGTCACGGATCATCTATCTGTGAACTATGCAGAAAATAGGCAAGCATACAAATGAGAAAAGCTTTGTACATCTTTCACCGATTTCCTTATTCCAATGAGAATCCAGTTCTCAAGCCGTACGTAGCTATAAATCGTATAATTTAATCATCTTGAAATATCCTTCCTCTATTATCGAGTATGTACTATGTAACGTACAAAAATAAATTATTTACAGTAAATATTAAATATTATCTTAAAATATGGTAAGTTTTCATGTCTCTTTCATTACGAAATGCGTCTCGAATTTCTACGCTTTAACGATTCTTATTGGTGATTAATATTACCGTGGCTATCAACAACTAATACAAAGTGTTTATATATATATATATATATATATATATATATATATATATATGCACGCACACAATTTAGAATCACAGAAATATTACCATAGGAGTCTCGTGTATAGAAAATGTCGATGTTCCATTATTTGTAAATTTACAAATCTGTTTTGCAATAAGAATCTTGCATAGAGGGAACGATATTTTACAAAAGCTTGAACAGATGAATAGCGAATGACGATAAAAGAAAACAATCATTTCCAAACTTGTATTAATCCGTCGGTACTGCCTGTGAGTATACACGTATTGGACATAGCTACGGCAGATATAGTGTCGTGATGACCAGATGGTGGAGTTTCTGGTCCTTGTCCACCTTCCTCTGGATTTCTTCCTCTGACATTACTACCTCCTCCTGACGAAGGCATAGGACAACCACCAGCTAATACTTCTTGAACCACATTTGTACCGTCTATCAAGCGTTGCCTGTGAACAATTGCGTCGACAAAGACCATGACCAACCGAGCCGTAAATTCCAATCTATTTCGGGAATATGTTCTTAGTAAATACATAACTAAATACTAACTCATATGCGTATGAATTTGGAGGAACAACGTCATTGGCTGCGGGTAATGCAACGTGAGAATCATTGGGTGTGTTCAAGTCCCAAAAACGTAATCGCATATCAGTTCCACCAGCTAATAAAAAGCCCGAACGGTCGATGCATCCCGAATACATCGAACAAACGCTGTGACCACCTTGACTATGACTGAGCGGTGGCGCGCTCGACGCCCAAAGTACCATTTGTCTGAAATCCGTTTCTAAATTCCACATGGAAATTTCATTGTTCCCTTGTACGGCTGATATTATCCATGAATGTTCAGTAGGATGTGTTATAACCTTCCTAACTCTTGCCCCTAATTAATGTACAATAGAATAAATAGATTCAATTACGAATCATTTATAATACTGTAATATAATATATTGACGTTTACCCGTTGGATGTTTGATATTGGTAATTGGTAATTGGAATCTTAAATCCCAACAAGTATGGACACCTGAGCTTGTACCAAGAGTTAACCATTGTTGATAACTATTAACACAAAATGAAGTTATTATTCCATACTTCAAATCATTTTCCAATCGCCACGTCGTTCCGGGACATCGCAAGTCCCATCCTACTAAGGATCCATATAACGAAGCATATACAAGAACTGATTGCGATCCAGAATCTAAATATTGTATATCAACTGCACATCCTTCGTCCTAAAAAATAAGAATCGTTTTACTCAATTAATAACCATCGAAGTTTATTAATAATCTTTAGTAAATAGGAAGAAGAATATGTCACTTGAATGTCCAACTGTCGAGTGTAAAGAACACTCATTTTACTGGAATTTGGTTCTATCCTCAATATAAATACTGTTCCAGATTGGCTAGCAGAACTTGCTATCGATTGTCCCTGTTCACAGACAGCTAAACCAACAAGGGGCCCACCTCTATGCATGTACGTTTGCCTATTACAGGAAGCGTATACATTTATAATAATGTGTGTGTGGGTGTATACATTGTTGAACAATAGACATTTGAAAAAATTCTCAAATGTAACAAAATTCAAATACCTAGAACGATTGACAATGCTTCGACCTTCCATTCTGCTAGCATCCCATATTTTAATGCATCCATCCGCCGAAGAACTAGCAAAGAGACTACTGTCTGGGATAGACACTAATCTATTAACTGCAGCTCTATGTTCATGGAGATGAGCAACGGGAACACCTCGTGGTCTCCACCCACTTGGTAGTAATCTAGAGCCTTTCATCACCATTGGGGCATCAATTAAATAAATGATAGGTGAACAGTAGTATTGCTTCTGAGATGATATATATAATCACTTTTATTTACCAGTTTGCCATGCAATATTATCAGCCCAATGTTGTGCCCTTAAAGCAGCCGCATGCTGCTCTTGTTTTCTATAAGTCAATTGTCTTACTTCTAATCTGCAAGGTGCACATCGATCTGCAAAACCATAAAGTGTTGCATCTGTTGCAATGCCAAAATTTTAGGAAACTCTTCATGCATTAAAAACAAGTAAGTTTATCTTATGAAATATCATACATTGTATGTAAGAACGTTCGTGTAGAGAATGGTCGTTTATACTATTCATGTCAGACAGACTATGTTGTGGTGACAAATGTATATCACCTCCATGCATACTTTGATTAGGACTTCCACTATTTCCAGTCATATCCGCCAATTTTAATACCGTATGCTAAATTATTCGAAACAAGTACATTTTTTTTAATGTACACTTGCCAAAGAAAATTTATACCAAATGTTATTATAATACCTGGGTATTCTCTTGAGCAGCGAACATCGTGCGCCATTCTTGATTCATCGAGGCATAAGTACCGGTAGTGTCGGACGTTCTTCTATCCAATCGTTTATAAGATGGAAGACCTAAATCACCTTTTGTATCTGGATACAGTATGACAATGTGATGTCTTATTTTATCCTTCATAGTATTCAACTCTAATTTTCCATCTAGAGGTTTAACCGTGCTCTGTTTGGTATCAACCGAATTACGATATTTATTTATTTTCATTAAATGCGGCTTCATTATGAGCAATTGATCCTCAACCGTTTCCGTCATAGATTCAGAATTCAAACGTCTAAAAAGCTAAGAGCTTCGTTCAGTTCTCTATAATTACATTGCAAATTCATTTAATTTGCCGAACGTTATACTTACTTTGCTTAACGAAATTGACATATCGTTATATCGCGGAACAATCCCTGTAGATGCCTCGACCCTTGCGGATTGTCTTTGTTCAAGGACTTGAAATAATTTCTCTATGTCATTGCATTTTATTACCTCATCATAAATTATACGTAAAATAGGGGCCACAAGAGCTTCTAATAATAGAACTTCCTTCTCAATCTGAATAAGTGGATGTTTTAAATATGGTTGTATCATCGTTTGAACTTTACATTGTACATCGACTACATTGAGTGTCCTTGCTGACGCCGATATAAATCCTACAGTTGCATGCCTGATCCACAAGTTCGGATGCACCTGTTAAAATATTAATTTTCCCGTGTCTTATTATCAAAGTGACAATTAAGCCAAAAATATTATAAATTATATTAAGATATACCAAGAAAATCATAGTCTCGGATAGAAGTTGATACAAAGCAGATTTATGTAATAAACCCAACTCTGTAAGAGTCGTCATTGCATTAATAGCTTTTGTCGTAACGAATTCTTCAGGATCAGCTAAACCTTGTTGAAGAAGAGGCATAAGTATTGGACTACTATGCCAGCCAACATAAGCTGCTACGCCGACTATGCATTCGAAAAACGATCCCCTAAGTTCTTTATCTTCTTTGTCATTTAAGAAAGTGATAACGTGACTCAATAAAATGTCGTTTGCTTTTTGTTTTCCAAAAAATACACACAACTTGTTTATTCCATTTTCCATTAAAGTTTGCTTAACCAAATTTTGCGGATCTGTTAAAAGCATAGACACAGATTGTTGCACCTAAAAAAATAAAGTATTACGCTGCAGTATACGGAATCAAAAATTATGCAGTTATATTCTTGTAAAATATTATATGCAATCATAGTTCTCTTTACCATTTCGTGCAACGTTTGCAGCTCACTATCGTAACTAGGCTTTGGTCCTTCTTTATTTCCAAGATTAGATAAGTGAGAATTTTCAAGGTATCGTAACGCAATATGAGCGAGATGAGCGATATTTTCCGCATAAGCTGCTCTGACAATAACTGCCTCATCTTGAGTAATATGCGATAAACCTGGTAGAATATATTCGGGAAATATATTCACGTCAGAGGGTGGGATCGATTTAACAAGATGTAAACATTTCGTTAATGTATGAATAGCGGATACTCTTACGCGTGGTGCTGGATCATGAACTAAATGAAACTATAAAAATACATTTTGTAAAATTTTATCAGGTGTTAATATATAACATGATAAATAATATTCACTCACAATATATGGCAAAATTCTGTCAAGAATCGTTTCGTCCGACGTATTTTCTGCCAATTCAAGCATAATTTCTAAACTTTGTAATTTAGATTGAGAATGATGTAGACCCCTTATACAGGAGGTTACAAGTTGTGTTACGATAACAAGACCTTCTAAAATCTCAGCAGGAGTAATACTTTTTTTATCCACCTCCGTACTATTTTTCTCCACTTGAGATTGTTTAGCATGAGAATTCTGTTCAGTCGCAATATCACAGCCAGTATCAGGTATTGATGAGGTTTTCTGATCTACTTGATTTAATTCGCTCTTATCAAAACTTTGATCACTGTCAGTTTCAATTACTGTATTTTCTTCGCTTTGACCAGAATCTTCTTTTGTGGATTCTGGATTACTCGCGCATTGGCCGTTCTTTTGATTCATCTTTATCCTCTCAGTTTCTTCTGCTTTAAATATGCTTATAATATTTCCAATATCTTTTTTCAATCTATTTATTTTCTCATCCGGTGAAAGAATGGGCGCTGCTGAGAAAATAAGCATGTAAGACTGTAGAAAAGAATAAAAATATTCAGGAAAGACCGTTCCACGTGCTTGTGCTAAGTAAATCTCGGCACATTTTCGATTTGTAGGGTTCCTTTCTAGCATAGAACCGAGTAGTTCTCTTATACCAACATCTTCTATAGAATCCAGATGTTTGGCAACCGAATATTCATTATTCCTATATGCTTGAGATAACACAAAGGAATAAAACAATTCAAGTTAGAAAATTTCATTACATTCTTATAATCTATTAAATCTAGACTATTAAAATTATTAAACATACCTAAAAGTTGAGAAAAGTCAAATGGTGGATGTCCTTCATTGTATAATTCTGTTAAAGCACAACCTGCGGAGAAGATATCCATCATTGGATTCAAATCACCAGTTTTGACTTCTTGTTCTGGTAATAAAATGGTATTGCTCAATTCAGAGGAAAGCGTTTTTACAAATCTTTCGGGTGCTATATAGCATGTTCTTCTTCTTGACGTGTCAAAAAAAAAAGAGAAATCGGCAGGATTATCCTCTGGCAGATAGGTTGGTTTAAAACTTGCAAAATCTGTTAGCAGTACCCAGTTCCAGCTGGTTATCATTATATTTTCTAGTTTTATGTCTCCATGACAAACTCCAAACTATTATAAAACAAAACAAAAGAAAATAAAAAATGGTATAACTTTATTTTACAAACTATCAACCATTATAGATTTACCTTATGAGCTTGATGAAGCGCATAGAGAACTTGAAAAGTAATCCACTTTTTTTCAATGCTTGTTAAAAATGGCCTAGTGCTAATTCTATCATACAAAGAATATTTTACATATTCTCTCATTATTGAGCCAGCCTTTTCTGTCAACTAATAAATGCATATAGTCTTCTTAATATAATTTTTATAGATGAGTATATAATTATTCTTTAATATTTAATAAGACTTACAATTGTTCTTTGAAAGGGTAAACAATTAACTGCAGAAGCAAGCTTTGATCTAATCTCTTCTACTTTCTCCTTATAAGCTGACAGTGGTAATGATGGATCGTGTATTGCAAAAACTTTAACTACTATCAATCCCTCTTCGCTTCGTGCTCGTGCTACTTTGAAAAATCTAGTGCTTCCTAGGCTACATAACAACAATAGTTTTTCTATGTGTAGATCAACAATGTATCAATTGTCATGTACACTTTTTGACAGGTTTACAGGTAACAGATGATATTAATAAAATCGGATAAGGTTAGGCTACTTACTTAACATCGAATAGTAAATCATTGTGATCTGTTAAATAATGTTCTACTGGAAATATTTGGCTGGGGGCAATGCCCACTAGTTGATTTCCCATTTTGCAAGAATATTGTTAAGGAATACCGACTTATTGACCTCCGGCATCCATATTGTGCCTAACTTCACTTTTCGAAGAAACCAGGCAAGTTGCTGCGAAATAATTCCTAGCAGTATATATACCTGATATTAATAGGAAATTAGATGTTTGTTCATAACCGAGATCGTTTTATAATTCGTTTATAAGTATAAAAGTATAATAGAAATTGTAAAACTAACAAACGATTATTTATTATTTGCGTAATTTCATATTTATTCGAACTAGTTACAAATTTTTTCATAATTTGCCTATCTTGTTTTCTCATAACGTATGCCTATCGTTTGCGCGGGAAAGATGTCGAACGGTTTATCTTGATTGAATTATTTTCTACAAAATGTTCATTTTCTTTTAGTCTAATGTATTTGGTACGTATTTCCACATATATTTTTAAATATATAAAACTACGATAATACCTTTATCGAGGTAAAATAACATATTTATCTGTCGTTAGATAAAATCAAATCTGATGACGCCATTCGAACAATTCAATTGGCACAATCATTGAAATATCTAATCGTACATTCATAGTTTATAATATTTAATACGTTTTCATGTTAAATGGTCAAGAAATAAAAAGAAAGAATTACGAGGATCGTTCGAAAGAATTAAGATTAGACGATTGTTCAATTATGAACGACAACGTAATGCGTTCTTTACGTAACGAAAAAAAAACGAATCATTGCAATTTTAGAGGGAATCGTAGATTTTTATAACGGAAATAAATCGTTGTGGATTATCTTTTAAATGATATAACGCGCGAGGTCGAGGTTCAACTTGTATAAATTAAACGTCGAAAGAATCAAATGCTCGATAATGAATTTGATTTGCGCATTTCTTCTTTTCTATCTCGGTGAATCAAATTTGGTAAGAAATTTGTCGTACATATTACATTTATTTGCCATTTATGCGCCAACGAAAGCAATTACTTATTCTTTAATTCTAAATAAGAAGATCAACGAATGACTTTGTTATCATACATCAGTACATTTTGAATGTACTTACCACTTTCTTTTATTAATCTTCTTTCAGGACGAGAAGATTACGAAGTTATTAAAATGGAGGTTAAGTTTTACGTTTCGAAATTTCGTCTTTGGCTTCGAAGATAAGTGTCGAGCTCAAAAATTTCCAGTAAACACGTACCAAGTGTCCTCGGAATTTCCTACGTATGTATGTATATACCTATATCTATAGATAAACTAGATAAGAAAAGCATCGTCACGCGTTATTTTCAAAGATGATCGTCGAAAATAAAATTGGGCTCATTTATAATTCGAATGGAACAATTATCACTTTTCTTTTCTTTTTTTTCTTTCTTTCTTTCTTTCTTTTTTTTTTTCTTTTTTTTTTTTCCTTAGATAACATTATGCATTGGAAAACAGGCCTTTTTTCACAAAGAAATTCTATTATTAGAAATTTCATATATACATTGAACATACATCTAATCAACTACTTGTTGATTATTCGAACGTATAATTTCTTCTGTCTGATATTTATTTCGATAAAAATCGACGATTCTTTTTCGAGCGTTACAAATATCTTTTGTAGTCGTTATAACTTTTCTTATTAGAATTAAGAAAGAGTTAAAAAGAGTGAGAGAGAGAGAGAGAGAGAGGCTCGATTATTCGCGACGTTCGAAAAGACATTTACGAGCTTGTACGTCTTCTGTGCAGCAAATACATTTAAGTAGTTTAAGTAAATCTACTACACGTGCGATACAATACACACACACACACATATATATATATATATTATATATATATATATATATGCACATACATTGAGAACACGTAATCGTCTAGTGTGTCTCTCTACAAAACCGAAGATGCGAGCGTTATGAAACACGCACTTGCCGGAAGAATTCTTTCTCTCTCTCTTTCTTTCTATATCTTTGCCAATGTATTCGTGGTGACGATAATTACATTTGGTTTCTTCTCGACACTTAACAATTTATTAGCCTATAGTTCTTATCTCAACTTGATCGCAAGGCGGCATAAAAAAAGAGAAAGTATTATTTTTCATACTTTTCATAAAGCCCATCGAACGTTTTTAACAATTTTTAATATCTATAAAAGTTAGATTTTGACGATTTAATGACACCCTCCATTCGACCAATCACTTTGCTCGATCGTTGCGAGCGCGATTTTTGAAATTTAATTTTTCTTTCTCCTTGTTCGATATTCGCGTTACTAACACATTACATGTTGCACGTTCTTACGCATTATTACACGTAGAAAAGATCGCGTTTCTCTCGAACAAGATGGGTGGAGTTCGAACTCGCTTGCTTATCGCGATAATTAAATGGAGTTATTTATGATGGTATATCGCGAATTACGAACGCAATGCCGAGCTTATGTTCTCCTCTATATGCGCTATCAAACGTAATATCTCGAAAGTATAATGACTTTTGTTTGTCGTCTGGTGCCGTTAGTCTGGTCCATCTCTTTTCAACGAGGAATCTTTTGCAATAAACCTTTTCCACATTTCCGATAAGCAAATACGTGCGAAAGATATACTTGGAAAGGAAATATTTCATAGAGTTTCATTGAGCGAACAAAAAGCAATGAAATACGACGATGGGTGTTACGTTTCCTTCGATGATTTCGACATTCCCTTTCATTCAGTATGGTCTCGCTGCTATTGTTTCGATCGTACATTGTCGAGATGTCTTTCTCTCTCGACGTTTTATCTTCTTCTTCTTCTTCTTTTTTTCTTTCTTCTTTTAGTTTACGCATAGACGATCACACGAGTTCGACAATTTCTACGAAGTGACGTAAGGGGAGGACAATGCATATGTTGTGCCTTTCTAACCACATCGGAGAAGATGCATTTAAATGTCTATAGCTACGTTAAGCAAGTGAGTATACGTATTTGCAAAATGGATAATTGCTTATATAAAAAGAAAAAGAAAATGAAATAAAGAACCTATACACGTAGTTAAAGAAAGAAATAAGGGACAGGTATTGAAGTTCAACGTGTCACAAACACGGAAGGGAGAAGAAATAGGAATAATTAAAATCGACGAGGCAAAATACAGGAAGCGTGTAAGCGAGAGAGAAAGAAAACAACGGAACGTGTGAGACTTCTTCATTGCGTTTACAAGCATCGACTTTTGCAGTCTTTACTAATGGGAAATATCTTTTTGGATTCGTTCCAACGAATGAATGATCTCAGAATATGGTTCACATCCTTTAATTCGTTTCCCCATGAAGAGAAATTGGTCATCGATCGTAATGAATTTATTTCGAATTTTCGATGAGAAAGACTACTTACTCGTTAACTTCTCGATGACATTCGATAGCTTCCAATGTTCCTCAGGACGTGAGAAAATAGATAAAATATCGTCGTTGTATCGGACGGCGTCCACAAAGAGAGCAACTCCATGACAGTGTCTCTTTTTACCATACTGTCGATGGATAGCTCTCTTCATAGTTCGCGCCTCGTTTTCATTTTCTCAAACACTTTGATTCTTTGCTGATGATTGTGAAGCGCTACAAAAAAATACTTAATCATTTTATCGAGTTGTAGAATATAATGATGTGACATAAGAACGATAAAAATCTTCGTCCTTGAGTTCTTTCGAAATAATAATTTTCTTAATGGTTTTAGTTCGAGGAGTATCAAAGGATTAGCCTCCAGGGTGTCGTGAACGCAACGCATGCGGACGCATGCTAGGAGAAACATCGAATAGCACGAAAAGCGTGCCTCAAACTCGCTTCTCGAGCTCGTTATCGGGGAGGTGCGAGCTACTTCTTCTCCCTCTTTAGCGTTGCCACCTGATTGCATGGCAAACATGAGCTACTCGAGTTAGCTCGTGCCATCGGTTGTTAACACTTTCTTTAGACCGATACTGTAGGATCCTGCTCGACTTTGTCTACTTAAGATGCGATTATTTCTCATTTTTTCTTCTCTTTTTTTTTTTCATCCAAAATTTCGATGCACCTACAGTGAGTAAAATTAATTATGAAATATATAAATTTTTTATCAGGGAGTACTTGTAATTAATTGATTTTTTAACTTTCAGAATTAATTTCTACAGAATATAGATGCCGCGTACGTGCGCACACAGCGAAAGATCTTTTAGGATGGAATGATAAAATATTCCCGGCATCGAAATGATCTTAATTACACGAGAAGTCTTTACTCGCAAAGTCTACCGCAATTATCGCACATCGACTAATGCCCGAACAAACTACGGAGAGATATAAAAAAGTTGCGACTCTTAAGGTGTTTGCTCAGATGACATTTTCACCTCTTACGAGCAACTGCTTAAACAGGGTAAAACGCGTTGCTCCGAGGCTACTGCACTCCGTTTCGCTTTTTTTTCTTTTTGCTATTCTCTCGTACGTCTTCTACTCTCTTGTAGATGATTTAGATTATTAGATCGAGGTAACGATACTTTTTTCTTTTTTGTTTAATACAATTATTCAGACAAGTACGTTCGTTTTAATCAAATGTTTGTTCAAGCTATGAACTGTCTCTCTTTTTCGAAAGCCGTATTTATCTTGTCGAGATATATTTGAAAGTTTCCGGAATGTCTTTCTTGATTCGACGCTTCAAGTTTTATCTATGAAGGTAATGCTAGGGAAACACTGAAATGATAAGAATTTATGAGTATCGTTAATAGATGACTCCGAAAGAGTATCATAGATTATTATTTTAAACGATTTTGCATTTATTTCTGAATTCCAGCGAGCTTAAAATTTGAACTATTCCAAAAGAAAAACATTTCGTAAAATAAAAAAAGAAAAAGAATTCTGCTTTTATACAATGCAAGATTATATGTGTGTGTGTGTGTGCTTTTAATCGTCAGTAATAACTTCTTTCTGCTATACATAAAGTCCAACGACAGGAATCTCATCGTATCGTATCATCTTCGAGAGGAGTCGCGATTGTCCATTATCAGTCGACGATGCGATAACGCGATAACGAACCAACTCACCTTACTATCGCCGAAAATCATTGCCAACGTAATATCTTTTACACTTCAAATGAAAGTCGCTTTATTTTCGAGTTATCGCGATTTTTAATTTTCTGTATATATTTTCCTTTTATCGATGAAAAATCAATGGCAAAAAGAGTTATTTGAATAACTCATTATGATTAGCGGGAATAACGAAGAAAATTGAGAAAAATATAGCTCGCTCGTGTGCGTCTCTCTTTCTCTCTCTCCCTCCCTCTCTCTCTCTCTCTCTCTCTCTCTCTCTCTCTCTCTCTCTCTCTCTCTCTCTCTCTCTCTCTCTCTCTCTCTCTCTCTCTTTCTTTCTCTCCCTCTTTCAATGATTCTTTTGACGTGGCATTGTTACGACTCTCTAAATTTCGTCATCGAGCAACGAGTAACGAAGGTAGTCTCGTAACGTTGCCAAAGTAAAAAATGCATAATCTTTCGTCTAACACGTGGCAATCGTTTCAGTGTTGTAACCGAGTGTATCTCTTAAAAGTATAATTTACATAAGAACGCGAGGGTGCTGCCATAATTCGGTATTATATTCCATCGAGACATCGATGTATGTTAAACAGCTGTTCGATCGGTTTTCTTGCCAACACAGAAATATTATAGAATATTACGTACGAAATGACTCGAGTAGTCGTTCAGCGAGTTGTAGGAGTTAACAATGACCAAGAACATAAACACAGCTCGATTTTACTCATTCTTAAAACAGCTCGTATCCGGTGACCCCGTCAAGAAAGTATAGAGTTTTAATATCGTTTCTTTACCAAGACCGAGCAAAGTTCAAAATATTTTATCTCGAATGAAAATCTCTTTTACTTTTTTCTCCATTGATGAATGAATAAAAGAAGGCGAAAGTTTTCAAGATAAAATCGAACGCGATGTTTCGAACGAAGATCAATAAAAATTGTAAGATCTCGTTTTCGAAGGTGGTACCGATGGTGTTATGTAATCGGAGTAATAGAAGGTCGAACCGTGCAGTAGTCCTCGTCGTCGTTGTCGTCGTACGAAAGAGTGCGGTAGCGATCGTAATCCCTCGAAATTTACACATGAAAAGGCAATGCCGTGATGCGACGAATTCCAGCTGCGTCGTCCACGAGGTCACGAGTGCTTTTAACGCGGCTCGCACGACCCACCTTCTCCTTTCCTCGATCTTCTTCTTTGCGAGCTTCCAAGACTCAACTTCTCCTTCCTTCCTCCCTTTAGCTTACCTGTTATTTGGACCACCCTTGATCACTGATAAAACTCGCCTTTCGCTTTATCTTTCTCTCTCTCTCTCTCTCTCTCTCTCTCTCTCTCTCTCTTTCTTTCTTTCTTTCTTTCTCTCTCTCTCTCTCTCTCCCTCTCTCTCTCTCTCTCTTTCTCTCTCTCTGTCTCTGCCTCTGTCTCTCTCTCTCTCTCTCTCTCTCTTCCCTTCCTCGACTGTGGTCAAATTGCAAGATCTATCGTAAGAGATCGCAAGATCGATCATAAGATTTAAAATATTCCTTTTCCAATCTCGTAAATCTTGTTTCCCGATAACGTAGGAAGAAAGTCTAATTTAAATCTGATTTCCGTAGGTTTACTTGAGAAAAATGAATTTGCACAAACGAACGTCTGACGAAGGTAGAAGAACGAGTGACGTGGATGGCTCTCCGTGTCCGCTCATATACTCTACCTGCGCCGATCTGACGTCACGGGTTTCGTTTCTTATCAGTAGTCAGGAGCGCCAACACCTGTATAGCCAAGCACCTGTTCGTCGAAACCTTCGATGATCGCGCGACCGCGCCTGTTCTGCAGATCGTCCACCCTACTTTTCTAATTCATCATTATCTTGATGATGGATCTTTGGATCTACAGTAACGACAGGTTTTAAAGTATTCTTAAATGAATACAAAACGAAGGGTTGCTTTTCAAATGACATGAGAGAAACATGGAACATGTTCGTTCTTTTACAACAGTATCACGTGTGGTTTTATACGATGCGTAATGTCTTATCTCGTGTCCTAGTTACATCACTGCTACCCTGACTATACATACTATATATACGCTAATGATACCTATAAGGTAGATCGAGATCGAGTAAAGGATCGCATAATGATTTAATGTTAATTGTCATTGAATATGTTAAAAGGATAGATTTTTTTTTATTTATTTCAATATTGAATGATATGAATTATACGAAGGAAAGTATATGCGTGCGAAAAAGATGGATCGAACGTCTACAAAAATTATAACTAAAAAAGTTAACTTAGGATAACGAAAAACAATTCAAAGTTATTAATGTTAAAGAATATAGAAATGTATTAAAATTATTTTATATAAAATAATAAATTTCTTTTGTAAGATCATACTATTGAAATTTTCTTTTAAAGTTTCATTGTAATAATAGATAAGTTTTCGTTATTAATAATGCGTAATAAATATATGAATCAGCTGTCAGAAAAAATATTGTCCATTTTCTGTGACTTTGTATCATTTTAAAAAGAAGAGAATACATTACCTACGAGCCTATATGGAAATAAAAAGTCTGGGCTCTTCCAAGAATTATGTAGGTCAGTATCCATCGTATGTATGCGTGTAGGTGCCTATATGTAAGAAAAATCATGCGTGAGACAAATACATGTGCAAGTTTTTACGAACGTTTACTGTCGGTGAACTCGGCATTCGTGTTGCATGTATGTGTAATAATACCTGTGTGCAAGCAAGCCCGACAGTTCTTCCTTTTTTTTCTTTTTTTTTTTATTTCCTATCTTGGCATTTAAAGTAGATATACATATATTTTTCCAGGAAATTATATAGGTCAGTGTGCCAATTTATATATAGGTTAGTAGTTCTCAATACATTTAAAGCTATTTTTTATTTCCCGTATATATATGTCATTTTAACTTTTTTACGATCTACAGAATCATAAGATATTTTATCGAAATTACAAATTATCTATTTTTATAATTCCAATTAATAACTCTTCATGATTTTTACGATTATTTTTATATTTAAATGTTATGTTACAAGATATTTTTTAACAGTCGGTGAAAAAAATTAATATATTCATTGACTAGTAAAGTATCTAAGGTGGCTCCACTGCGTATGCGCGGCGCCAACTATTCAATCGTTTCATTGGTGAATACGATTTTATTATTTGTTTGGTGATCGTCAGTTCGACATGGAAATCGTATCGTTCTCATAATTTCAAGTAATTAACATATTTTTTTAGTGTACATCCTTCTTCAGTATATCAGTCGATTTTTCAAAGCGTGTTTCTTAAGATGTATTATTCGTCAATTTTGACAAAGGCACTGAAAAAGAAATATTCATAAAAGTAAAATTGGCGACCGTACATTTCACTTCTTCTTTTCTTCGTACTTCTCGGCATTATTTATATATATATATCTTCCTTTTTTCTTCTAATCACTTAATTATAGAATATTTATGATATATTCTGATGATTTTTATAATCGTATATCGTATTTATAACAATTTTGTATTTTCGATTATTAGATCGAAAAATTGCGTAGTAATTGACGAACAACACACTTAAAGTAGTTCATTGCGCATGCGCGGCGTATTGTTTAACAATTTGGCCGGTAGACACGACGCCATTTTGTGTTCGGTAATCAACAGCTAGACGTGGAAGCTGCATCGTCCTCATTAATTTCAGGTAATTAATATATTTTTCTAACATAGACACTCTTCCAATATACCAATCGATTGCCAAACACACGATTTACACACGTGAATGTTCGCAAGTTGGGGCATTGTTGCGTTTAAAAGATATTTGCGAAAATAAAATCTGCGTTTGGTGGTCCTTCGAAAACTATTACGTCATAACTTTTTTTTCCAATTCTCGGCTCTTATTTCTACGATATCTACACTTCTCTCGCTTCTTAACGATGCTTTTGTTAATAATTTGTCATTAATTGTCATTAAATAATCGTCGTCAATCGTATTTTATATTATATTCGATTTTCATACATATACACGCAACACACACACATACGTACACGTTAATGGATATCCCACTCATATACACATGTATACAAATATAATGAAATTTATCCTTTTTCAATCGGTCTTTCTCTTTTAGATTTTCAAGAATTGTACGAGAATCGGAAAAGCAATGAATATTTCGGTGATCCTTTTCTACACGTCTTTTTTCTTCGTCATACGTACCGGTAAGTCTATCTCCTTTTAAAAACAAAACGAAGCTTTGAGAGAGATGGATAGCGTTCGGCATCGAATTCGCATTTCCAGGAAATTTTCAGGCCGAGAATAAAACAAAAACAGTCGAGCGCTCGACTCTCTCAAGGGCAGGAAAGAGATCTTCATTCCGATATAGTATTTTGACGAGTACGGATCTCTGAAAATATTGATTAGTTTCATTTTAATTGCGCATCTTTTTATTGAACATTTATATTCTAACTTTATTAATTTTAATATTGTTAGAAATGTATTATTGTATAGAATAATATAGGAATTTGTATAATTTTTATTTTAGAAAATTTATAAAACAATTGGGTCCCTGTAAGCAGTTACCTCAAATACTTTGGTACATTTCAAAAATATTCAGTTTTTAAAAATTTTACTTTATCAAATATTCATTATGATTAATAATTTTAGATAATATATTCTCCAATGTGTTGCCTTCAGAAATGATTTACAGGAAATGTTTTATTCTTTCTTGTTCTATAATCTATTGTATGTTTCAGCTTTTATTAAGTTCAGTTTTTATTAATCATTAGAGTCAGTGTTTTTTTTTGCTCGTATCGTTGGAATTTATTTCTATATTTGAATAAGTTGATTAAATAAAGTATTAAATTGTTTAATATAAATTCGCGAATTAGAATCAGTGTTTGTTCGTAATAAGTGTAATTTAGTTTTATAACTAAAAGTAATCTGGTTAAATAAAATTAGATTTAATATAAATTCGTGTTGTAGAGTCAGTGTTAGTACATATTCATCTTGTCCTGGGGCAGGATGCTCATCGTGCAAAGGATCAACAAAGGCTCTGGTAAGTCAATTTCTTTTTTAAATAAATTTCTCGATAAATAAAAGAATTGTTTAATATAACAATGATACTAATAATTTAGTTTTTGTTTTTTTTTTCAGTTCAAATAAAAGAAGAATTATCCTCTTCATCGTCCTGGGGCAGGATGCTCATCGTGCAAGCCTCAATGGAGATTTTAAGTAAGTAAAGTTTTTTCATTAGACTTTCCTCAATAATTGAAATAATATGTTGTTATAAAAATAATACTAATAATACTGTTTTTGTTATTTTCAGAACACCATTGCAATCGCGCGCGAAGCAATGAATAAAATCGAGTGTTGTATCGCTAAAATAAAAACTAAAAAGTCGCGAAGTAGAAGCAGTGTTTGTTCGTTCGCGTTTCGCGATTTAAACAGCAAGTGTTTTTGCGTCGACTGCGTGCAATGCAGTCGTTAGAATCAGTGTTTGTTCTCAAAGTAATTTGCTTTTTTAACAGTTGCACAGTATATTCATAAAAAGTGGTAGAGTTTCTCGAATTAACTTCAGTGACCGTTCGTTAAAAAATAACTACCGCGTATTAGAGTCAGTGCATCATTGAAGAGGATCCTCGACCAACTTCGATGTCGACCTACCTCATTTTCAACCAGCTACGAATCATCCACCCTCAATTTCGACCTAAATCGTGGACGAGTGTTTTGGAGCCATCGCAGAACTTCTTAAGTAGTAAGTGAACAAATTTTGAGTCCCTCCAGTGCTCAATCATGCCGAGGATGAAAGGTCCGAATCGGCACGAGTTACTGGTTGTAATTTTTTAAATAAATTATCGACGAGCATGACCGTGAATAACTCCTCATTTGGATTTATTCGCGAGTGGTACATTTTTAATTGTCTATTGTTTATGTCTTTTGTGCATGCTTACTTTTATTAGCTCAGGATAGGGTCTTCTTGTTTTATCGATTCGATTATAGTTAATAGTGCAATGAATAAGCACTTTTTTATTCGTATTTGCTCGCGATATTAATGGTGAAATCGGACATTTATTTATCCGATTTCGTCGAGAAAGCATATGATCTGATCTACGTTATATGCATTGCTTCGTACTTGTTCTATTTAATCGCGATTTACTTCGATATATCGATGTAGATGTATACAAAAATGGACAAGAAGACAAGCGCGACGGATAGATTCTGGAAGACAAGTGGTAGTAAGTCATGATCTTGCTCTTTAATTAGAATAGCCACTTGTTGAAAAGAGTCGTCCGAGGTATTTTGGTTATTTTCGTATGAAAAATTAAATAAATATTCAATTAATCTTTTTTGATAAAATAAAAGTCTCAATAGAATCATTGATTTTGAAAGAAAAAAGTCGAGTAGAGTAATTGCTAAAAAACAAAGAGACTTGTAGAAGCATAGTCCGTAGGCCCTAGAATAAGTTAATCCATTTTTAGATCAGGATTTTCAGCTTCTAATATACTAATTCCCGTTTCTCCTCCCCGTGCTTTCTGCGTTCTCATCTATGCGTGTGCCCAGGTGTTACTCGTATGGGTGAGAAACGGTTAGTATGGGTTTAGTTTTTAATTCTCCCTTATTGGCGACTGTCATTGCGTTAATGATTGCGCACGATGTACCTTGCACCTTGTATGCTCGTGTTTAGGTGGTGCATTGTATATCGTATCGCGATAACTTCTAAATAAATACACGTACTAATATTATATAATGATAAACTTACTATTATAAATAAATACGCATACTAATAATATTATTATTTGTATCGTTTTGTAGTAGAGTCACCGCATATTGTTTGGAAATACTCGTATGTTACTAGTATGCATATATATATATATACTAGTACGTACTAGTATGTTTTGCTTTAGTTATTTACGCAATAATCATTAGGCTTGACAGTCGATTACAGCAATTGGTACGTACCCCTTATTAGTTAAGAATCAAACGCGTTTGAGCTAGGGTGTCGGAGGTGCCCCGGGGCATACTCTCTAGTGTAGGCTTTTGCACCCTGGCGGTATGTGAGAGAATCGTGGAGTGTATGTGTTGGAACGAATGTTTTGCAATTTTTTAAATATAGGTTATAGGCAGGCAGGTAGCATATCTTTTTCTGTGTGATTGTCCGTTTAATTTTAAGCAGGTAGGACCAAATAAGACGCGCAGGGTATAATTTTCACTCAGGAGTGGAAATTTCCGTCTCCGGATATTATACAAAGTTTCAGCAAATTTTAGAATTTTTCAGCATGTTCGCCTTTTTCCATATTTTGCTGACACTCTGTATTGCGAGATATATCAATATCAAATGGTTTAAAAGTCTTTGCATTTATTTAGAAATTCACTTTGAATTAATTTAAGACTTTTCAACATGTCCGTTACTTAGTATTAAGTATATTAACAGTTCGCACTTTCGTGATATCCCATAATAAGTTCTAATATCTAATATATTATATATATCTACAGTAAAGTAAAAGCAATGAAAGTACAAAATGAAAGTACTCAAGTAAAATAATGTTAAGTCATAAGATATATCGTAAATTTGACAATTTTCTAATCCTATTTATTTCTACTTATTACAGAAGTGCGAAAAGTTAGTATTAGGTTCATCGATTAGTATAAATACCTGCTGGGGCATTCGAGTAAATGTGCCTGTGTTAATGTGCACAGTTAATGGACTGTCTTCGAGTCCATTGATTGTCCGCAGGCTAGGATAATTCACGGGATATATTAAAACTTTTTATTTTTAATTTTTTTATTTTTAAAATATTTATAAAAAATGAAATAACATGCAGTCAAGGATATGTGTTGGATAACATAGAATCATCGATTAAAAACAAAGAATTACGTAAATATGATCAGGGACTCCGTGTTAGACTTTTGACGTATAACGATGGATGCTTTTTTGTGCATAAATTATTCTTGCGTCGCAGATAGGGAATGCCCTTAAAAAGCAGTGATTAGGGCACGAAGCAAAGAAGAGGCTATATGCCGAAGAGGCCCCCACTCATATATTGTGGCTCAAGAGGGCAACTATCGACGACGAGTCATTTTTTCAGAGGATCGATATGTTTCTCTGATAATGGCTCGTAGTCCTATCATATTTTTTTTACCACGTTGTCATTTTGCTCGTCAGTAATAATTGGTATAATTGGATATGATGTCCAACGATGCACAGGTTTATAATTAGTTAGGATGAAAAATACTTAGATTCGCGTTATAAAAATATTAGATTTTGCAAATTAATTAACGATCGCTAACATTACATTTGTAATTTTTGTGTAAAGAACGCGGTAAATAAGTAAATAATAATAATATAATTTCTATATATTTTATTTTTACTAGTAGTAATAATATTTGAAATTTTCCAATTGCTTTAGCATTATTTGTTATAATTTGTAGAGTCACACATTTAAATTTTATCTTATAGCAAGGTGATATAGGGATTGATAAGAATAGATAGGGAAATAAATTGAAATGTGCATCTACACAAATATTGGCATGTCAAATAGATGTGCTGTATTATATGTTTTTATACATTGGATTTTATGACTAATATATTTTCTTTTTGTTACAGGTGATCATCGTTGGATTCGCTACCAATAATCTTTTTTGATTTTCACGTATTAGAGCGCCCTGCTGTTACATTATCTTATGTATATATATATGCATTTCTGAAGGCAAACATAAAATATTTAATATAATTGTTTATAGTTTTATGAAAAATACAATTTCAATATAACTATGTCAAATATAACTTTAAATATTTGTGGGATGTACCAAAGATTTTGAAGATGTTTTGTTTTTATTTTATTTTTATCTATTTTTATTTTAATTTAATAATGAGCAAATTGATATTGAAAATGTGTAATATAAAATTAGAGAAGAGCCATACTAACTAATAAAATTATATAATAACCAATTCAGAGTAATTTCATATTATATCTATTTTTTAGATTAATTTATTTTTAAGAGTTAATTAGTAATTAAGCCATTTGGTAATTAAGATAGTTTAAAAGATATATGCAACATAGTAGGATATATCTTGGATTGATTCATGGATTTATGAATTAATGCAATATTTTTTTCATAATTTCTCCAACTACCTTATTTGACTTTTAAGTATTCAATTTTAGATCATTAATACATTATACACAATATAGTATTACTGATAAATATGAATACTAATAGTAGCGGTTATAGAATATATATACTTTGTATATACCTGAGATATACAAAATATATATAAAAATTATGTCAATTAATTATATCAGGTTGTTTCGTACTTTTTAAAAATATTCTCAAGATAATTAATAAAGAATTCAAACTTTTTCTTACTGGTAGATTAGGGCAAAGGCGTGATCGATTATGATCGGCTCGATAGAAGAGAGTCATATACGCAAGTACATATCGCTAATCGAATTAGATGGAATTTCAAAATGAATTTTTAAAAAAACGCATTGAAGAGAAACGGAAGAATAAAAAAAAATATATCATTTTATTTAATTATCCTTTGAGAAGTATAGATTTTTAATAAAGAATATAATGAGTTTGCATTAAACGGTGACTGTCGAACGACTCGCAGTTGTTGTTGGTGGTCTATTTCTGAGAGAAGACAATAAAAAAATTAAATTGAATTAGTTCGATTATCGATTAACCTTAATCTTACTTGCATGCTTCCTGAAAGGTTTTTCTGGCTTGATCTAACATTCGTTTATATGTTTCTAAGTCCGAAGCTTTGTCCTGTTGTACCGTATTTAATCTTACTTTCAAAGCGAGGCATTCCTCTTCAAGTAATTCGAGCCTTTCAATAAATAGAATATTAAATTAATTTAGCTTATTTAAAATTTAAGATTTAATTTCTTTAAAATGAAAGTATATACTGCAGGATATTTACTTGAAATGGATTTGTTCGGCATTTGCAGATTCTTCATTCGTTCGAGATCCCGAGATTGATCTTAGATTTCTTACCCTGTAACCACTGTCCACCTTCGAAATCCCTATTTTTTCGTTTTCTAATTTTCGTAATTTAGATTCCAATTTTACCACCTTGTTTTGTTCGTTTCGCAAGGATTCCTGGTAGATCGAATATTATCTTTCTTTGATCTTTAAAAATATTAATATTTTGTAATAAAAATTAGATACGGTTAGATTGTTTGCATCAATTCTCTCCTTGTCCAATCGTCTGTTCAACACAGTCACCAACTCTAATAATCTCTCTCGTTCAGCTTCTGCCGCGATAGCCATAGTGACATATTCGTTAGGTTCGTTGAAGTTTCTAATCGTATTCGGAGGACTCGTACGATAATTGCTAACAGTTCGATCTTCCAGATGAAGAACACGTTGTTTCGAATCTTCCGTTATTATACCATTTCTAAGACATCCTTAATAATTAGATATTCATCTTGGAAAAAAAATAAGGAGAGAAAAAATGATCCATGTCAACCTCAGTTTATCTATCTCGATTTCACGTTCTTCGAGTTTCCTTGTTAACCGATCGATTTGTATTTGAGCAGCTTGTAGATCATTTTTCAAAACGATACTTTCGCGTTCCAATTTCTCTTCCTTATTCTTGATGTCCATTTCGCGTTCATGATATTTATTTTCAGCAGATTTGAGTCGACTCTGCGAAAAATCCCGGAAAGTATAAGGATAATAATAAATAGCGATGATAATAATAAATAGCGATACTAACGTTAAGAGTCTCAATCAAATGATCGTCATGAGATCTTTTTTCGTTTAACACAGCAATATTCGCCTTTGTCGTATTCAATTCATTTTCTAGAACTTTTATTCTAGCTTTCGAGGCTTCGAGCTTCCTTTTATAGGTTTCCAATGCAATTTCTGCTTGCCTGAGCTCCTTCGCCGAATTTTCAATCTGTTGTCGTCTCTCCTTTTCTGCATTTCGAAGATGCGCGAGATTCTTTCGTTCCAAGGAGGTTGCTAATTCGTTTGACTACGTTAATAAAAACGAAGAAACATCAATAGGAAAACATCTTACCGGAGGATCCTTTCACAGTTCCATCATATTCCGATAACTTTAATTGTAATTCGGAAACCTTTTGTTGAAGCAGTCGAATTTGTTCGGCTCTTCCACGCCAGCCACCCAGTTGCGAGGATAATCCAGCCACCGTTACGTTCTCGCCAACTTCGCTGCACAGTAACTACCCTTATATTCTTTAAAAATCAATGTTAATCCTCGACGAACGTTTCGAACGATCTACCTTTTGAGCTTTGTTGAACTCCTGTTTGAGACTCGCATAAGCGTTCTTCGATTCGTAAAGCTTCGTTTGTACTTGTTGCATCTTCTCCGTTAGAATTTTGATCTTATCCTCGTCCTCCTTCGATAAAGATTGGACATCTCCGGTACCTTTGTCAAGGATACTATCCTGGATCTCGATTATGTTATTGCATGGATAAACGATATCAAGATATTGCTAAGATCTTGAAAGAGGATACACGAGCAACTCACTGTTACGAGACTCTGGTAGTTCCTTCGAACGAGTTAGCTCATGTTTTAAGTTTTCCAATTCGGCCGTCTTGCTGGCTAGATTGCCCTCGAGATTCTTACATTTCGTTTTGAGTACCTCGATTTCAGCCGTCTGTTCCCTACATTTCTTACTCAATTCGATGATCTTTGTCGCTGCCATTTCACTGGATTTACCCAATGTTATAGGGAGTTGCGATTTCGTTGTACTCTCTTCCGTGATTCGAAGCCTTTCCTCGGTCTCTTCGAGCGCTCGACGCAAGCAACCATTCTCCGCAGTTAAATCCTATTTTACGACAGATTTTGAGTAGGAATCATACATCGTTGGAACCAAAAATATACCTCTCCGGATCTCGTTTGTTGGTTGCAGGCAAGCAGAGTGATACGCACGTCTTATATACTCACCCGGATACGATCACGCAGGTACGTATTTAATTCTTCAGGAAAAACGATTCGTTCGGGTAGTCTTTCCTTTGAAATAATTCGTTTATTTTTATTCTTTTGAATGAACAATATTGCAACAATTAAAATACATATATGTAAATTGATTTACTTAATAACTAAATACAATGTTACACATTATAATCTATTACCGTTCGAAGCCGATTATAGAAATCCGTTACCTCTATCGTTTCTTTCGACCATGTCACAGTATCCTCGAAATCGCAGGTATCGTTTAGATCGTTTTTAAGCTTTGTGTTCATGTCTTTCGAATCCGGTATTACGACAATAATAATTTTATAAGTATATCATATGATTATGCGTCGATTTGTATTTGGAATATTTTTAAAGGACATGAATGGAATGCTATCATATGCTATAATAGATCCTAGTAAGTTTGAAATAAGATAGGAATCGAATTTCATCGGTTCGGTTAACGTGTTCTTACTTTTGACACCGTGTCATTTGATCTACATGAACTGACGTATGCCACAATATACTTTTGTTTTTTGTAGAAACTCGGAACATGGCATTCGACAGCGAAAAATTGACGTTCGATGATACGTATAAAAACTGTCAGATTTATTAAAAAAATTGATGGGACCTGATCAATTATAGCTTTAGTCTCCTTCGTATTTTATGAATATATATGTATAAGTATGTTGCAAGATTAATTACGAAGAGTTAGGAGATTAAAGATAAGGTGAAACAGGTAGTTTTTCTCCGCAAATTATATGTATTTTTATCTAATGCCTAAGTCGTCGATGAGTTAGCATTTTTTTTCCCTTTCTTTAACTTCTTGTCAGTCTTTTTTTGACTTCCTGCTAACTTTCCTTCTTTTCGAAGTGCGTCCAATTTTTTGTTTTTCGCTATGATGATTTGTTTTGCATTATCACGTTTAGAATCCGTGGTATATTGTACTTTTATCACGCGATTTTGAAAGGTCGAATTATTCAGTGACAGTGCTTTCTGTAACAAAATTATTAAAATATTATATTATATCTAACAGAAGAAGAAATGAATGTGATATATTGTTAAAATTTACCTCATAATCTTCTTGATTTCCTAGTTCAATGTAACAAAATCCTCGAGATTTATTTGTGCTCATATTTTTTGGTATTCTAACATCAGATATTGCACTGACTTTAGTTAGGAAATGTTTTCTAATGTCATTTGAATTAGCGCTGTAAAAAAGGAGTATCGAATTTTCAGACATTACTGAAATAATAATTTTGAAGATACTTGTACTAAAAATACGTATACCTTACTAGATACTATATATTATAAGATACTATAATAGATACTTGTAAAAAATTGAAATTGTTACCTATATGGTATATTTGCAACATGGAGAACGTATCTTTTTTTCTTAGAACCTTGCTTCTTGTCATTTGGAATTTCATTCTTTTTCTCTGGTTTTTTCTTTATCTTTAATTTCTTATCAGGACCTTTATCCTTGCTTTCTACTTCACCTTCTATATCTCCTTCATCCTCCTCCTCTTCTTCCTCCTCCTCCTCCTCCTCCTCCTCTTCCTCTTCTTTCACTTCTTCTGATTTTTCACCTTCCTCTTCCTCATCCGCTTCCTCGTCTTCGTCGTTGTCATCGTCGTCGTCATCATCGTCATTATCATCGTCATCATCATCGTCATCTTCATCTTCTTCTACATGTATTTTTTTATTTAGTGATTTTTGAGATTTAACTTGATCTTCATTTTCTTCCTCTTCATTTGATTCTTCCACACCTTCGTTTTCATCTTTATCTTTTTGTGGTTTAAGTCTTAATAAACTACCTGGCTGTACTTTAGTATTCTTTTGCTGTTTAGATTTCTGCTTATTTGTAAATTTAACAGACAATGAGTTTTTATCTTTTTCATTGATCATCTCCACTTCTTTCAATTTTGTATCTTTTTGTATCTTTTGAACTTTTTTTTTACTATTATTGTCTGCCAAATTATTTTCGTTTGCAGTAAGTTTTTTCTTTTCTTTTTTGTCACTAACTTTTGTAGCGTCAGATTTTGTATCTTTATTGTTATCAGTTGATTCTTGCAAGCCATTTGTTTCTTCTTCTACTTTCAATATTTTCTTTAAAGTACCCAATTTCTTTTTTGCAGATTTAGACAATGTTTCTCTATTTTGTAATTCTTTGATTTTTTCTTTTATTTGTTCAATAGACAATTTAGAGGTCATGGTTTTCATTTGTCCTTCTTCACGACGGAATATCTTGCGTTTTTCTTTACTTAATTGTTTATTTTGTTCCTTTAGTAATGTAATTCTATTTTTTCTGGATAAAGCAGTCGGTCCTTCACCATTCTGGCATTCTTCGTTCTGTTTAAACTTAGAAGGAGAAGTTATACTATTTTCACTTTTATTTTTTTCTTTTTTTTTTTTATTTACATTTATATTATCTTGAGAAGCAACTGCTTTCTCTGCTTTCTTTGCTTTCTTGGAAACTGCATTTGCATTTTGTATATCATGAACTATTTCCAGCTTTTGTTTCTTTGGCACTGACAATGTATCTTTTATATCTTTCTTTTCAGATTTTTCTACTAGATTATTACTATCATTTGCGGACCGCTTTTTGAATTTCTTAGACATATTTGCTTCTTAAAATGAACACGCACAAAATCGAGTAGTTACAGAAGTATCTAGAAAGAAAAATTGAAGAATAGAATAGAATTTTTTAATATAATCAAAGTAATATATAGATAAGTTCGTGTAATTATGCATAAAGATTAACTTTATGATAGTATTACTGTTATGACAAACTTATATATTATGAATTTTTTAATAAACAACAGCAAGTATAAAATTTTTGTTTCAGAAATACCCTTAGTATATTTGTGCAATAATGTAATAAACCATTATTTTATTTGGTTAGAATGTAAAGGAGATTGAAATCTAAAGAATATTAAATTATTTTAGTAACGAACCAACAAATTTTCCTATATATTTTATAATATAAAAAAGGACTCACATGCGCACAGTACACGCGGTAAAGACGGAATTGTTTAGAGGTTAGGGAGAAAATGTGGCAACTACTAGCGCCATCATAGGAATAACTGAAGTCATTTCCGGTGGAACATGCGCCATGAGTATTTCTTACGCGGTAAATGTTGCACACGTGTTTCGTAAATGGCGGGAATGTCAAAAATGTCGTCTAATGTCTCATTCATTTATAGATATGGAGTACCGACTACATACTGTTCGTTTTTTTTTCTGGATTCTTTTTAACATATAAACATACAATTTTAATATACCATAAAAAGTATGTTTTATACCAAGAATTGTATAAAAGATATTTTGATAATTTATGAAGTTTCCTAAAAAATATTTTTATCAATACGCTTAGCATGAAACATGTTACATGAAGTATTCAATATATATATATATATATATATATATATATATAATACTAATGGAATAACGAAGCAGTTACGTATTAATCTAGTTTGAACCACGTACGTGCTTTTGTAGGAATATTTATAAAGAATGCTACGAGACTACATGAATTCATGGAATTAATGCGTTCGTCCGTTCCACTAAGGGTATTATATTTCCATGCGGAGAAGAATGACGATAAGGACGAATAAATTAGCATTAGGATACATTTATGTTTGAGCTGTGAAGAAGCTATATGAGAGTTAATCAAAGCGATGAGAAAAGCTACCTACTAGTTGGTCATCTAGTAAGCATATCTCTGCTCGCTTCTTTAATATAAACACTTCCATTATAAAATAATTGAATGTATGTCTATGCTTCGCTCTTATCACCGATATCCTTATTCATTGTCCAATTCGCGTTCTTCTTAAAATTTTATACTAATCATCTTCTGCATTTTATGTGTGCATTATCAAATATATTTTCAAATTGGTCAGAATCGTTACTATAGTTATTAATTATAACAAAATCAATTTAAGTGAACTCCTTTAAATGCAATCAGAACGTAATCGAGCAGACTTATTGATAGATACGTAACAAGTGCAAGCGTTATTAAAGAAGATGTTCATTAGGTAAAATTTTAATTTTAGATATACGATCTAAATGTTTTGCATTTGAGAAATAGACACGATCATCCTACGTAAGAATAAAAAAAGAATCGTTGTAGTTATCCTGTAGAGAGAACACTTTTAAATTCCGTTCCATTCGAGAAGAAGTATGAAATGAGCATGTTTTCTATGGTAATACAATCGTTTAATCTTAACAAATCGTTTTATAGAACTCCATGGAATTCGAGCATCGTTATTCCTTCGAAAGCATCCCTTCAGATAACTCGACGCAAGCGCGACCCCTCTTCTCTTCCCTTCTCCTCTTATTTCCTTTTTTCCTCCCTCGAAGCGGATCGCTCGTGGTCGTTGCATGCTTGCCGCAACGAGAGTGGTGGTTCGCCCTATTGATCGACCTAGATCTGCAGTTGGTCTCCGCGCTTCGTCACGAATGCGCGTCTTCTCTTTCGAGCAACGCGTCTCGACGACGTTTCTCCTCTTTTCTTTGAGCATCTTTGTTACTGGCTCCTCATTTCTTCTTTTTACAATTAAAGAACAAGAAGAAGAGTAACGAGATCTCACTAGTTACGATTCGTAACGAAGCTCGAGAAGATCGATTATTTTTCTTCGGAGCAGTGAAACGTGTCATCTGTGATAAAAAAAAAACCTACGGTAATAATATCGAAACGACATTATTGAATCGTCCTTTATTTTGGTTTAACCAATTTTCTTCTCTCACATGAATTTCTATTTCTCTTCGGTGATCACTTTTTGAAAGATTGTTATAAGAGAATCCCTTGTAAAATGAAAGACATTCATCGGGTGCTAGATTCTTTCCAAATACTTTTCTTATTTTAACATAAGAATATGTTATTTATTCGACGTTATCTTGGCCGAGTCTATGTTTCGATTTTTCGTCGCGACGTATCTTATACTTTCAGTCGACCGACTTTTATAATGGTGTGCCGATCGAACGAGATAACACGTTTTGTTTCTTCGAATAGAGAAGTTATAGTGCTAGGACTTGTTTGAACACGTGTGAATAATTCAGAAGAAATAATTAGGACATACTCATATTACTACTTATAGCTATTTTAATCTAAAACGTTCGCTAAAAATATATGCACGATATTATTTGTTAAAACTTTCCTTTCTTTTTCCTTATCAATCACTGTTCTCGTTTACACGTTTTTTCCACAGATTGCGTTTCTTTGGAAAATCGTAAAGAAGAAAAATGGACAAAGTTGACGACCGATGTATGAATTCCTCGCGGGAAGAATGAAAGGACGAATGATTCGCAACAGGCTGCACGAGGCGCGCTGAGAAGTTTGCGCGTTATAGCAGAGGAACGATCAGATTCTTTGTTAGCTTTTCTATTTTCATTGTTATTATTGACGTCGATCGAAAGAAGAAGATCCATCCCTTCATTCGTTCGTTCGATGCTTTTCTTACGATTCTTCGAAGATTTTTCCAGAGGTAATTCTCTTCTTGTATCATTCATCCTTTGATTAAGTCAATATCGCGACGCAGAAAAGACAAAGTCAGAGTCCTATTCGAAAAAAAAAGACACGATTCTACATGTAAAATCTCAGCATTCGTCAAGCTTCGAACTTTGGAAGTAGATACTATTGATTTGTTTCGATGCTTCATTCGGTTTCGCATCGTTTCATTGCCAGAATTTTCTTATTATCGTAATCGTGCTAATGTACACGTCAATTTCTTAATATAAAAAAAAAAGATTTATTTGATAAAGAATATCTACTAAATACTGAAAAAATGAATGAATAGGGAGAAATAGGAGAAAATATATGTTGCCTAACATTTCTAATTTGTTCGAAAAGGGCGATGAGAGACATAAAATTGGATTAAAATAGTCGCTGTGTTTATTTATCCCTTTAATGGTGTTAGAGAAAAAGTGAATTAGGAATCGTGACGCTTCACTCTGAGGTTTGCATTTTCTTTCGCTCTTTCTCCCCCCCCCCTCTCCTCTCTTTCTCTCGAATAACTAAGAAGTTACGTTTCACGTAAGTAACATATTTAGAAATTTAGTTGACAGACGATTGCTGATTTAGTTTTATAGCTCGAAAGAATAATTGATAATCTTAGTGATGATCTTAGATTAGAAGAAATTTTCAAGTTTCTATAATATATTCCCGTTATTTTTTCACGAGAGAATTTCAATAACAAAATATTACCATTTTTAGTTCCCTATCGAACAATCGATTACCCGCACATTGTACAGCCGCAGTCGTCTATGAAATCACGATACGGCATGACGATATATCGAGTGTAACGAGAGAGGAATAGTCGCAGACATGTGGACGAATCATTTGATTATAGTGGGTGAGTGTCGGAGTAAAGAGATGTTTTTTAAATTTTGCTATTATCTTATCTTTTTTTTTATATAAATTTCCTACGAAGCTCGATAATAAATAACATTGAAGTAATTTTTATAAGATTTACAATATACTTGGCATTTAAAAAAACAATATGATGTTTCTCCTTTCGCGAAAATGTATGTAACACAAACCATACATACATACATACATACATACATATATACATACATACATACATACATACATACATACATACATACATACATAGATACATACATACATATATACTTACGTTACGTACGTACGTAGCTACGAAGTTCCTTTTGTAGTAGATTTATGATGTATAGCCGGAAGAAGAGCGCATCGTTTATTAATTTATTTTCCTTTTTTTTTACGGCAAGCAACAAATGTTTTTGACGTTTGGACAATTAATTATAAATTTTGCAAATAAGAACGATGCACGTTTTTTTCCGGAGAAACGCACGAGGAACGAGAAATTGAAGCTGCAAGGACCCGAAATAAAAATCATAAAAGCACCGACTCGTAATTAGTCCCTCGCTGTTTTTTTAACACATAATTACCCGAGCTCGTAATTATCTTACCTCTTGCTAACAATCCTCGTACCTACATACTCGAGATATATACATATGTAGCACTAGAATATATAAGGAGTCGACAGACTATATCTATGATTATTTTGGAGGTGATCGAGCGCACCGCCCGGGTGAGTGTGTGCAGACGATTGAACAAAATTTCGTAGAAAGACAACAGTCTTTACGCATAGATAGAAGCCTAGAATTATTACTCCGTTATCTTTATCTTCATCCAGCATCCGTAGTTGATTTTATTTTCCGTAGATACTCTTTTTTACAGTCTGAATCATCTTCATTGGCTCTAGAGCCTGAACATTCGAATTACTTTTAGAAATCCAATACCGGCATGTGTACGATCGCTGCGCGCGTGCGCTAGGTACGTACACACGTGTGTGTTCTCCTATGTACGTCGGACGTATTTCAACATTTCTTAAAATTAGCCGTGTAAAGATTAATAGATTTTATATCTGTGAAAATCATTTTTTTTTTTACAATCTAATTCATTTATGCTTCATAAATAAGTGTACGTCCGACGTTCGAATTTCTTAGATTCGTCGTAAGGTTAATTAATACGCACCCATAGTTGACACCGTGCATAGTGCCGTGAATTACTGTTCGCCAAAAAAAAAAAAAGAAAAAAAGTATTTAAAAAAAAAAGTATTTAAAAAAAAAAGTAGTTCATACATATAGTTAGAGAGCACTGTAATCTTCACTTACGACGAAATTTAATCATAACGATGGTCTCATAGTAGCGTGTAGTTTTTTATGGTAGCATTTGTTAGTTGCAAATTATCAGGGTCTGTAGCCATACGATAGTTTATTTACCAGCTGTGTTTGTAGTGCCGTTGTTTGTTGTTCATCGTCATTGTTGCGTTATACTTTTAATCCATTCACCTACCTCTCTTTCTATTTATTTCTTTATCTATTTATCTATCCTGTCCCACCGTCGTTAATGCCAAAGCGTCCCAGCCGTTTTTAAAGCAGTGACCAATCTTTCGTTTTCAGCGGCAATTGTACTCGCGGTTGCCAACGTCTGTCATGCGGAGTGCCAGAGTGAGTGATTAAGCCACTTAAAGCCAATTACTACTTCAGTGTTACATGACCGCCGTCACTGTTCCGTCACTGTTCTCCATCAACGGGGACGTTTTTTATGCAATTCGATACATCCGGTTTTGTCACGATAAGTTAGAACGTAATGCGTTCTCTTATAAGAAAGAAAAACATTCATTGACAATCTTCTTAATGAGTATAGAAGAAAAAAGTCAGAGTGCGTTATCGTAGGCACGCTGGACGAGAATTTTCTCGGGATGTCGCTTGCTTTTACGTGGCATTTCTATCTGTGTGCATCTTTGGGTGGAGAGAGAGAGTGAGAGAGAGAGAGTGTGTGTGAGAGAGAGAGAGAGAGAGAGAGAGAAAGAGAGAGAGAGAAAAAGAATGAGAGATTACAAGTGCGAGACAATTGTTGCTTGATCAGCAGGATAATTTGACGAATATCTATTCCTTTTCTTTCTTTTTCTTTTCTTTCTCTTTCTTCTCTTTCTTTTTCTTTTCTTTCTCTTTCTTCTCTTTCTTTTTGCTTTTGGCTTTCATGCTAAAATTGTATCACACGCTGCATGAGTTATGTTCTTACGAGAGAAGGCGCCCTCGATCTCTATTGCACGAGTTCTGGTCTTGTTCAGCGTGTCCACGTGGAATATACATTTATATGATACATACATATGTATTATTTATCTACCGATGTACAGCCGTATTTGTTCGGAAGAAACGTACGGAACGTTAAGGGTAGCCGAGAATGGACGACGAATCGCCAGCGTGTCGCGACTCATCAGATAAACTCTATTCGCGTGCGACCTCTTCGTTCTACTCATTTTCTCTTCGTTCTTTCGATCACTCGTTCATCGAAGAAGTCGCACGTGCGAAACACCGAAACTTTATCGTAATTCCAGTCTGTTTTTCGCAGCACGCTCGATCTATTGTTACGAATGCGATTCGTGGACAGATCTACGATGCAAGGATCCGTTCAATTACACAGCCTTACCCAGAGATCAGCCACCATTGATGACGTGCAATGGACGCTGCGTCAAAATGGTCCGAAATACAAAATCACGTGAGTGTGATTTATATTTTCCTCGTACATTTATATTAGTTTAAGTCGGAATCCTTTTCACTTGGTAGTCACTCACTAGTGAGTATTATATAGGTATCTCTATTTTACACATATGTATATAGATATATTAATTAAAGTTTTATTAACGTACACATGATATTTTGCTCCTGAAATTTAGTGTCGATTCGTTTGTAATTATATCGAATCATTAAAAATGTCAAGTGTAAAGGGTTCGTTCATCAGTAGATAAAATCAAGATAAAGTTCGAACTCGCTCGAATGCACCTTTCCAACGCTCTAATGCACCGTCAAATGAACCGCGTAAACCTGATAGCCATGTTTATTTCGAGCGTTTCTCGTGTTAAATAAATTACTTACCTGCTTAACCTAGTTATATACTTTACAGATTGCTTTTAAGTGAGCCAATAATCAATCTTTTCTCCTTTCTTCTTTTTGATTTACAGCATACGAGAGCGTTAGAAGGACCTGCATTTCGCAGCTACAGATAAACTTATTCATGGTGGACCACGTGTGCATGATGGAAAGTACCGGCACTGGTCACATGTGCTTCTGTGAGGAGGATATGTGCAATCGTGTATCCCCGACTTCGTCTTCGAATCCCACACTCCTCCTCTTACTCCTCTCGACCATATTTTTTCTAAGCTCGAACGTTTTAGGAGGCCAAGCTTGCTTAGTAGAACGTTGCAATGGTCACATTGTATAACACACCGAATCGTTGTTCGATCCACTTAGAAGATCACCAAAGGCTCCAATCGTTACCCCCTTCTTCTCCCACCTCTCTCTCTCTCTCTCTCCCTCTTTATTCCCTTTTAATCTCGTCCAAGAACTTACAAGTTTAGCATTTTGCAGAAAATCGTTGCAACTACTTCGACGTAGAATAGAACGGAGTCTATCTTCTTTCGCATAGATATCATTTTATCTCTTTCTCTCTTTCACTTCACTTCTTTTTATTTTTTTTTTTTTCTATTTTCACTCATCACTTTCCAACATCTCTCAGCAATGTGAAAGCGGCGGACATCGTGATATGCCGAGAAGGAAACAATGCTATCGTTTTAGAAGAGCTTTGTACAAATTTACGTAAGATATTGTTCCGAAAGATAGATTCGCGTTAACAACTTTGTACTATGTTTGCCAGATTGTTTAATACTGTTTCAAACTATTAATACTATTTCAGACGTAGATAACAAATTTGAGGTCTGATGTTAACGGAAATTTAAAAAGTTAACGCGGATCGATCGACTTAGAAACGGCAAAATCCTGTCTCGTCCCTCCTCGTCACGATTGCGTTCGTTAGTTTTTCATTAGATTGCACCTCACTCCGATCTTCTCTTGCACTCGGTGCACTTTTTCTCTTTCTATGTCTTCTTTGTCTCCTCTCGCGTGTCCACTTGGACGTCAGTCGGCATTATCTAGCGCTTTATGCTCGAAATAAAATTTATGCCGAGAAAATTAGCGAATAGATGACGATTCGCGAAACGTAGGCCGCATGGTGTTGTTCGGCATGTCAATCCAACAGGGTCATCGACGTGGCACCCGTCGTCAATGCAGCGACTACAATGACGGCGATCAGCGAGCAGCGAACCAAACAAAATCTTTACGGCTAGCTAAGCCGAATCAGTATGAGCGTGCTTTGGGAACGTCCTGTATTTTTCGTCATTTCAAAAGGACTATTAGCTTCTCTTTTTTTCTATCTCGACGATGCTTTACTGCTGGATTTAATTAATTTTTATCATATTTTTTATGCAAAACTTGTTTCTTTGACGGTCCATTATTCTCGAATAGTTTGGGATGGTATTTTATGTATATATATTTTTTATCTATTTTCTACGTTATATGAATGATAACATACTATGTAAGTCGGTTCACTCACTTTTAGCTTATCAATAAGACTTGTATCTTTTTATCAAGTAGTAAGTTTCGAAAGCACGCTCGTATGCACGAGGAGCCTTTACGATCAATTACGATTTAGTTAGCGAGTTCCGTAGGTAAAGGCACTTTTTAAATCGAGGGAAGTGATTTTGAGTGCATGGATCGTAGGCACTCACAATCAGATTGGAGGATTTCATTCGTGTTTCCTCGACATTTTCCAACCACCGTGTGCAGCAGCACCTTGCATGATACTGCATGCCATTTGTCATTAGTTACTCTTGCGTGTAATCGGGTCGTCGTCCAATTCCATCGTCGTAGCTCGTCAAAAAGTAATCAACGTTATGAGAAAAGAGTCTTTTCTTTTTCTTCTTCTTCTTCTTCTTCTTTTTTTTTTTTTTCTTTTTTTTCCCGTAAAGATAAAAGAATTAACCGGAGAGTTCCTTTTCGGCGAGCTGAACGACGTGAAGAACCTACGAAACCTTCCACCCCGATGGATGCAATGCGAGGCAGATCGAAAGAAAAACTAACAAAAGCACAGCGTGAGCCTTCAGCTTACGTCGTAATCGTCGATAAATTTTCTCGCTCGCGTTAATCGTGATTTTCGAATGATCGTAGGATCGTTAACATTATAGAATCTCTCGCGGATGACTCGAGCAAGCTGAACGCTCATGTCCTCACAGAGAGGCTTTCTTTAACGGAGCCTCTTGCCAAACAAGCTTCGGTGCTTGCATTGGTGGTGAGTTCACCGATGTTTCTCTGGCAAGCCATGCGGCTCGTGTCGCGTCATTTGTTCATTGTCGCACGCGCGGCTGCGAGGCTAATCCACTGATCTTCGTTATCTTTCTATCTCTTTCCATTTTTCTTTCTTACTTATTGTATTAATACCACATCGTTCTTCTATATTTCGCTGTTTACACTAATTTCCGATCGCATCGATTAACGCTATTTTCTCGCCAGCTTTTCGATTCCCCTTTTTTAAATGGCATTACGTGTACGAAGAAACGTCGATTATTTTTAAACGCATTGTAACGAGGAATTGCTAAGCGAGAAAAATTGGGCCTATCTATGTACATATGCTATATTCAAATACGAATCATATCATCGTTATCGATCGTTTCTTACGGATTTAGATAGGTGTTTGTCCTAAGTCCCTTTAGGATTGTTCCAGTTACGCGTATCTACATGCGCGCGTACTCGATCGTATTTTATACGAGTCATATCATTGTTACAAATCGTTTTACTGACTAACGTAGGTAGCTGTTATTGATATTTAGGATTACATGAAGAATTTCTGTAGTACGTAGGTCTTAGTCATATAATGATAATACTTTATATGGTATCCTTATTTGGATCATCAACAGAAATCATATCATCGAAGCTTTATAATCACCAGCAGGCAAAGAAAATTCGTTTGATTGTTATATCCTCTTGGAAAAATTCTCTTCTATAAAATATATTAATCTCGAGAAATGAAAAATCATTCGAGATCGTGCTGGAAACGACTCGAACATTTTTTTCGCATAGCAAGACTACGCGTGAATTAACTCGATAAAAGTAAAAATATTCAAGGACGTTTTTTCGTTCCAAGCGTTTAGAGTTATTGCGATCCGAAATATATCACACATTAATCTGTAATAAAATTTGTAAAACGGCGAATTGTCAACATACATAATAATTGTCACGTTCAAATCTGGCCTCGCAGCCGAAAGATATCCACGCATATTCGTTATTTGATAAATGATATGCAACAACGATGTTACAAAAAATGTTACCTAAGAAAACAAAGAAATCAGACACAAAAAAGTCCTTCTGTAACACGACGAAAAATTCGATAAAAAAAACTATCTGCGTTGTAAAAAGAATTATACTTTTCTTCGTTTCAATGATGCACTAGTCATAAAATACAATACTTATAAGGGAGTTTGCGCAATCGTTCGATAAAACAGTCTTGATAAGAAATTCTGAAAGAAATTTTTCTCGCTGATGATGGCATTGGTTGTAGATAGAACAGCTAGTAAGAGGGATTATAATTTACTAATAAAAAGAATATCGTTAATACGTCGTTGTTTGACTTGATGATTTCAATATCATTTTTAGCCTGTACCTATAGATCGAATTAAGATTGATCACATTTCTTCATCACAGATTGTAGCAATTGCTATTGCGAAGAAGAAAATATATGGGGGAAAAAGAAACAAATATTAAAGCGATACATGTTTGGAGGTTATTTTCAAAAACAAATCTTTCATATTTGTCACGACGTTCGAGGGCAATAAAATGTATACATACCTGTTATGAAAATCGATCCTTGATACTTTACTCCTCTACCACAACAAAACATTTAATATCCACACTCTTACAGGAATCGATCAATGACGATCAACATTGCGAATGGACGAGAGGGTATGTATGTACATTAGAATAAAAGAAAAAGAGAGAGATGTTTGCTTTTCGTCTAACTACGGCATTCAACATGTTTTATTGCTGCAATCGATATTCTTTGTTTGCTTCTACGGCTTATTTGAACGATCGTACGTCGATTTAGGAACGACGAAAAATCCATTTAAAGTTAGATAGATAGCGATAGCTAGATAAATAGACTGACAGAGAATGAGAGAAAGGAAGAGAGATAGTGAGAGAGAGAGAGAGAGAGAGAGAGAGAGAGAGAGAGAGAGAGAGAGAGAGAGAGAGAGAGAGAGCAAATAGAAACGAAAAGATAATCTTACACGCGTTAACATTTTCATGACTCTTCAAATCGACGATCTACGTCGTATTTCGTAACGAGATGAACAAAAAAAAAAAATAACAGGAAGGGAAGAGAGATTTACTGAGGTTTGAAAGAATGACCACACTTTTGACAGAGCCTGCCGTCTTCGTCACCAACGTCGTCATCACTACCATCGTTGTCGATCTCTTCTTTGTCCTTGATCGGTTTCTCCGATCGAAAACGTGAAGGTACGAGCTCACCCGTGTAAGGTCGATGTCCTATCGCACCGATCGTTTCGCTTCTAGGTATACCCTTCTCCCCGGATGGCATGGACGAAACGTCTTGACCTTCGTTTTCTTGCTTGACAACCGAACCATTAGCTATTCCGTAGCCCGAGTGAGCTTTCGCTATCTCCTTCTTCGAGTTGTTATCATACGATTCATCAAGATCCGATAGTAACATAGAGTTCTCTCGAGAAATATCTGTAATGAGAGTGACAGAGTTAGAAAGAAATTATACGTTAGATACGTTCGTGATTACATCGTAGATAAATTTACCGTTGTAAGTAGAGTCGATTTTGTCGATGCTCATAATAGATTCAACGGTGACTAGACCGTCTTCGTCCTCTTTCATTTGAGGAAGATCGGTAGATGGTCCTGCTGATCGTCCACAACACACGTAGCCCTAAAATTATTTTATTTATTCTATTATTTATACGCCACAAAAGAGAATTATAATTTTAATAAAATAAAGTTAACATCGATGATAAATTGTATCGAATCGAGACGATAATTTTGAACTCACTTGAACGAGATCCATGTGAGAATCTAAAGAAAATTGTTTTCCTGACATGAGTATACCTCGAATACGTCGTCGCATCGCTAAAAATGAAAGCAGGTAAGTTACAAAGTCGAATATTTTGAATAAAATCGAAAACCGATCACCTGGACTATCCTTTGCCTCGACTCGTAGCTGTCCAAAGTTCTTCATGCATTCCTCGAAAACATCGGTGGCGTCGTATATTGCTGCGAAACTGCCATTAACAATCTTCGGTGACATCGGTGAATTAGCTAACAACAAACTGGAACCGAAATTTTCGTTCTTCTCGCGCGTATCTGGAAAGTGGAAGGAACGTCGTCGATTGTGCCTTTCGTAAACGTAAATTCGAATTCGATCGTACGTACGTAGGGTAATTCGAAGGGATAAAAAGGAAAAGAAGGAAAAGAAAAATAAATAAAAAGGCAAAACAAAATGAAAAATAGAATAACAATAGGAACAATATATTTTATTGCTAATTGAGAAACAAGATAAATAATAATATTAATTAGGGAGGAGAGAAAATAAAGACGAAAGAGCCGATTGATCGAAATTAAATTAAGAAGGTATAACTCCGTTCAACTTGGCCTGCTTAAGATTTTTAAAAATTTTTTCCTTGCTCTTTTTCTTCTTTAAAAAATATATCTTATATCGATTCGTCGCAAAACGTTATCGTGTTGTGTCTGTCCCATGTGAATATCCAATTGCTCTATTATCTACTAATATATAACCATAATCAATGATATCTAAAATGTTTGTGAAGAATATTGTCAAGCGGTTTGCACCTGTCTACGGTCTTCCTGAGATTTACCTGCCAATGGAACTCTTGCTCTTACTGGTGAACCAGAATTGTCACCTAAAATTTCATTAGCCGTATTCCTTATTTCTGCCCAATCCTTCAATATGTCCTCGTTGGTGGTACTAAAATAATAAATATTCATGAATTAATCCGTACAGGTAGATTGAAAGACAGACAATAGCTTACTTGGTCGAAGTGACAGTGAACCTGATGACGTATTTTCCATGAAGTGCAGCAGGTACGCAATGCACACGACCACGAGAATTCATTTTCTTTAACAATCTTTCAGTCGAGTTGTTCTCACCTCGCAAACGAAATACAACCATTCCTAAATGCCTTGTAGCAGGAATTTCAAAACGTGGATCAGCCAGTACCAAAGCCTCAAACTTTTGTGCTAATCTTACTCCCTTGAAATGTCAAGAAACAATTGTTATACAACATTGAATAATTATTAAATAATTACAAAAATTAATTGCAAAAGATATTATTTACCTCTCGTATGTGCTTCTGAAGTCCACTAATCCCGTAATTCCTGATGACAAACCAAAGTTTGAGTGCTCTAAATCTCTTTGACAACGGTATTTGCCAGTGCTACGAAAACGATAAAGGACGTAAAGAATTTAAAGCGATTATATATGTTATCTATTTTATCTTTTCAATTTTTTCTTACTCACCATGAAATCAATGGCGAGTCCTGAAAATATAATATAACAATGTGAATAAAATAGAAGGAATTAGTAATTCGAATGATGAATTACAATTAATTATCTCACCGGAATTTTCGTGCTTTAGATAAATAGGATCTACGTTGAAAGTTCTGTGGAGAGCCTGGCTATTTTTCACCCTGAAAAATAATGGAGTTCAAGTTTATACGCGCGCCAACTGTGATTCAATCTCGAACCGAGAATAGTTTCATTTCGCACCATCGACTTTAAAAGCGATTCAAATATCATCGGGGACGCTTATGGATTGTGAACAATTGTGGATAACTAGAAAATCGCTCTTAGGACGCTTTCAAGCGGATATTGCGGAAAGAATGAGGAAAAAAGGAAGGAGTTTCCGCAATAAGATCTACGAGATGAAATAAGAGAGAGAGAGAGAGAGAGAGAGAGAGAGAGAGAGAGAGAGAGAGAGAGAGAATATGAAAATAGTTAGTTCCGTTTTTAAATGTTACGAACTATTTCTTTAATATATTATTTTGTTGTATCCCTTTTCTGTCGTGTGCAAATGAAATTATCAATCATACTCCTTACCACATAGCGGTACAATCGAAATGAACCATCAACCATTTGCTTGGATTGAAAGCGAAAGAATCGGCATATTCGATTCCTTGAAGCCAACCACGAAATTCCGGGCAGATAAAGGCGCTTCCGGCGTAGGCAGCATCGATGTGCAACCATAAACCATTCTTTTCGCCTATAACAGATTGTACGAGTCGATTGTCGATTATGATTATTCGATTGTCTCTACGGAAAAAAAAATGTTTCTCGAGTAACTCACATATCGGGCCCACTTCCATAAGATTGTCGAAGGAACATGCACCGGTTGTACCCAAAGTCACGCACACCTGCGATCGTCGATGAATTTTATAGTTGCATAATGTCACGATATATGTGAAAATGATCAAACACAGCTCGTATTTTTTTTTAAGTAATCTTCCGAGAAATAGATAGGGAAGCATTGTTAAATTTAAGTTTCCAGAAATAAGGGAGCAAATAAGTAATAGGACGTCAAGGAAAGATAATCGGATGCTGTTCGCCCTAAGGGACCAACTAAGTGAAACGTCGATCCGGATTGTTGCGTCGACCGTCCGACTATAGCAGCGACACGACTACTTAAACTCCGGAGAAGGTTTTAATTGGCAATTCGATAGTTTGTCTTATATCGTTCCGTAACTACTAACAATTCTCCTTTTAATTGGCAAATGTTTGTCCTATCTGCTATTATTATCATTATATTTCTTTTTTAATCGTGAATTTAATTACTATTAGTTGATGAAATAAATAAAACATAGAGAATACTTACGAAAAACGGAAGCAAACCGTCAGCTCGATCACGAGCCAAAGCTTCTTCAAGAGCTTCGCCTCTCATGCTAAGATCCGCATCCGATTCGATGTACCTCATTTTTACTAATCCGATAAGTCCAGCCTTTTCCACGCTCGAGTGCGCCTTTAAACAATACGCAGAAAGTTCTTTTAGAAAAGAATTCGCGTGATAAAAATGAGATAACGAAGAAACAAAATAAAGTAAACCTGATCGGAACAATAAGCGACGAGGCGCGAATTGATATTTGCGCTCGTTTCATTGGGTTCGCTTTCTTGAACGTCTCTAATCGCACGAGCTCTTGCCGCAAGGAGGGAGACAAGAGTGGAGTCGGATGCAGTAGTTTGGATGACACCTCCGCCACCGTTCATCACACCAGGCCGATGCATAAATTGTTCAGGCAAACCTATCATCTTACCAAGCCAATTCATCACGATCGTTTCTAATTCGGTACACACTGGGCTCGAAGCCTAAATGAAATTATTTAGGAAGTATAAATAAGACTCGAAGAAGTTAGTCTCTCGCAACTATTTCTCTCTTACCCAAGTGAAACCGAGACAATTAATAGCGTCGGCCAACATGTCGCCTAACATACTCGTCGGAGAGTTCAGTGCCGGAAAGTAAGCATGCATATGAGGACTTTGCCAATGAGTTACACCTGGCATAATACATCTCTCGATGTCAGAAAATATATCCTCCCATGGTTCCCCATCGACGGGTGCTGATGCAGGTAGAATGTTTCTCAGATAGCCTGGTGATACGGCTGGGTATACTCGTCTCGAACGAATATTTTCAAGATAATCGGCGATATAATCCACCATTTCCTTTCCTATATAGAAAACACATTGGAAACAGAAAAGAAAAAGTTATCCATTGTCGTGGACTTGACCGATTTCAAGAAACTTATTTACTTGGTCTATCGTTCATTGTCGATCGTGGGATTAAAGGAAATCGAGAAAAAGAAAATTCGTTTGTTTAACGTCAACGCGAAAACAATGCTTCATCGAAACTCTCGTAAATTTAAACTCGTCTTTCCTTTGATTGCTTTTTGTTGTCCATTAACAAACTCTTTTCTTTTCTTGAATGGGCATTATGTAAGAATGTAATAGCGCACACCCTAGATTATCAAAGCAATGCTTCGTTTTATCTCGGAATGAAGTGTTAAACGGATGTCGTTTGTATTCATAAAACTTGTTATCGCTGGTAGAATGCACCAAGGAAATCCGTGAAAAGATTCGTCGCTATTTATCGTTTGCTTAAACAGAAGATTTGCGTCTCTACCGATTGAAGCCTATTGGATACAATATCATTCAGTCAGGTAAAATCCCTTAAAGTCTCGAAGCGTTTCCCGTACCTCGATTCCTTCTTATTGACGTTGCTTTAGTACCTCATACGTTTTTTTTTTACGACGAAATTTGATCACACAAGTCTCTATTATTCGTTTCATCGTTGTCTCTCATTGTCTCTCGTTGTTTCTACAAATTACAAACGTATTTCACGAGGAAAAGAGAACAAATAAAAAGAGAAAGGAAATGGATAACGACATATCGTTTCTCGCGTCAAGTCGAAATGTTAAAGGAAAATATTTCACCAGCTTCGTTACGAGTCTTCTTTTAGCTAAATTACTCTCTCGAGATCGCGAAATTTATTACAAAGTAAGCATGCCATTTCTGAGTTTTGTAGATGAGCGTGTAAAAAGAAAATGATAGACGATTTTAATGCTACTGGATATATATATATATATATATATATATATATATATATGGATATATATATATATATATATATATATATATATATATATATATAGAAGATAGTAAGAACATTTGTCTAAGAATAATGTGGCTCACCGTGTTTACGATATTCTTCGAGATTCATCGTTGATCTTTTAAAAGACACGGAAAGATCGAAATCCTTGAGATCTGTCCCTCGATGAACGACGAGAGTAGATCGACGAGTTCGTTCCACTTCTTTGGCCTATGGAATCAACAGGATGACAGGGTCACCGTGAAAGATCAGGGTCGATATTAAAACTAAACTGGTTGTCTCATAACAACCAGATTTCGAAATTGCGATCGACCCGTTTCACGCACATGTGGCGACGATAATCTATTCGTCCGTTTTTCCACAGACGAACGTAAACCCGGGCGACGAAGAGGGATTGCGAAATTTAAAGGAAAAGCTACGAAAAGATTTCCAAGGTCGGAAAAAATTTGTGTAGGAAGAAAATAATTTGCAAGAATAATATTGCAAGATACGTTGGCGATGGTCCGAAGGAGAACGAAAAGGGAGGTGACACTTGCCGCGTTCACCATACGTATCAACTTCGCGTAAAACTTTGGCGGATGAGCCGTACGGGGAGAGTTGTTCTCTATGCTACACGATTTGTACGGATTCATCCATCGATCGTGCTGCTGTCACATGGCACCCAAGTCGAGCTTATTAGGCTAGTGTGACAAGGCTCGTAGCGGCCTAGAACCGAACTGCCGCCCCTTTTCATTCACTCGTACGGACGTAAAGTCACCCCAACCAACCCTTACCCTCGCTCTATCTCGATCTCTGATATTTCCACGGGAACTTGTACGAATTCTTTCCTATTATTAAACTACGATCGAGCCATCGCTTCTTCTCGCGATAAGCGACATTTCAACGAACGACTTTTGCAAACTTTACCCTGATGAACGAAATCGAATACGATTTCCTTCTCCGTTTTGGAACAACTCTTTGCTAATCCTATTTTGGAAAACACAGAATCTCACTCGCGAGTAAACTACAAAGTTGAAACGGACTGTCCCGCGTCCTTTGTCGTCCGTCTTTGGACACAAGCCTTTCATGAAAGTGATTAACTCATTTGTCAAACTAACTGATTCCTACCGACTTGCTTTTATGTCGTGTGTAGTATTATTCATTATTATCATCGTCGTCGTCGTCGTCATCGTCGTCGTCGTCGTCGTCGTCATCAGATTAAAAAAAAATTTAACCTGGTGATAACTTTTATTAGAAGAATAATTATGTAACGATAGGTACATACTAGTATATTTTTATGGAACGATAATTATTATCATTTCGGTTGTTTACGCGAGCTTGTTAAATTTTTATTTCTTTATTTTTTTCCTCTTTTTTCTTTCTTCTTTTTTTTTTTTTTTTAATCGATTTTCTGAGAAATCGTAATACTTGAACGGAAAAGGATATTTTTCACGAATAGATTACGCTTCGATCTTTGACGCGTGCGGAGATGCGTGTAAAAAAATCAACGGTACGATAGCTTATAAGCAAGTTGGTCATAAACGTTCAGTGAAGCAAAGGTACTACGTACGTTGGAAGTGTGAGAAAGAGAGCGAACGAGAGAGAGAGAAAAAGCTTAAGCGGCAGAGAAGGACTGTCGGTGATATTAAAAGCTCGTCCCTCCGCCGTTTCCGCTTCCGACTTTTCTAATTTCCCGTAGCTTTCACTAAGCGCGTACGATTCGAAGGATTTATCCGCTTTATATGCTGGCATGCTTCGGACGAACGACGACGATGACGATGAGTACATTTCGAGCGTCCTTCTTTGTCAAATTTTCGCCACTTGGAAAACTCGCGGATATAGCTTAATGCGTTTTTAACGATGGATCGATATTTTATTCTTAAAATAAAAAAAGAAACAATGTTGGCTTTATTTAGCGAATGTTTCTTTTTTTTTTTTTTTTTTTTTTTTTTTTTTAATTATGCAATTAAAGTATTGTACGTGCTTACATATCTGTGTTCGGCTTTTCGAAAACGTTCTATCAAAAAAAGTTAATTATAACTATAATAAAATCTTGTGCTGCTCAAAGAGTTAATATCACGACAGCCAAAGAAAAAATTACGAATGATAGAATAGTACGAGTGACTCGAAACATCGTAACATTGAAATGAAATAAATTTCTCGACTTTACATCGATTCGATGCTGATAAGACGTTACTCGATTGAGAAGTATCCTTTCTCTATATTCAACGGGAAACTTATTAACGATATGGAAATAAAAAAGGTGTTATAGAATGAAAAGAAATGTAGCGTAACATCGAATAGAGAAAAGTTTTGATCTGACCTTTTTAAGATTCCTTTCGTTTGACCCCACCGCTGATTATTTTCTTGAATTCCCTTGCCGAAAATAGTAACTTTCAAAGTAGAGCCAATGAGAGAAATGGTAAAGACGCGAAGAGAAAGAGAAAAAAATGATCAGAGAAGAAATAGGATGGATCGATCGAAAGAATAAGTTCACCGAAGGTTCACACCTGTTGGATCTCCGTCTAAAGGGTAGGTTTCCGGTTTTCTCGATCTCAACGAAATGTATCCGCGTTTGTTGCAGCGAATCGTTGGAATGCACATCGCTCAACAAGTGGCCGCTTTTATAGAGCGGCGCACTTAGCGAATCCGCGTGCGGAGACGCGAGCGAGAAGAAGCGCAAGCGTATGTAGATCGGCGCGGAGAACACGCGCAACTGTGGCTAAGCTCCCTAAAATTTCTTCTTCGGGAAAGACGATGGAAGAAAGCTGCCCTCGAAAAGGTAGAGATCGAAGGGCGAGAGGGAGGGGAGGTGGTAGAAGCGAGTGCGAAAGGATAAAAAAGAGGAAAGAATAGTGGCACTCTTTCGTCTTGTAAATGGAAAGAGTTAAGACTGAAGGAGGATTTACAAGGGCTCGATTCCTCCCAACAAGGATATACAATAGGAATAGATTCCCCAAGGAATCTTTTACTGTCTTACGAGATATGCTCTCAATTATTTTTTTTTTCTTTCTATACACGTATTTGTATTATTATTTATATAGGGAGGGGAAAAAAAACAAGGTTATTACAAAATAATTCACAGACTCACGTAATGAAAGTCATTAATCTCCAGAAGATGTAAATTCCTTTCATTTTTTTCTTTTACGCTTCGAGAGCACTCAACGCGAGTTGCGGTTTTTTCATCGGTTTATGGACTTTGGTGCGATGAATGTTGTTCCGTATGATTTCTATGCTAATCGCTAAAAGTACGATAGAGGTGGATATGTTTCGTTTGTGTTTTCTTATAAAATCGTTCAATCGCATAAATTATCTATATGGAAAATGTCGTAAAATTTTTTAAACGGTCGAGGAAGAACGTAAAAAATGCAAAATAATTATTCTAATCCTATTGTTTCGCATCATGGAGCGGAACTTAATTTCGATTTATGCCGATAGAATATCCGTGACTATGCCAAGCAATATCTCCAGTTAATTTGGAATCTATAATCAAATTGTAAATCATAAAAAATAATAACTCTACGTTTCGCTCAACGTCATTTTACGTTTCACTATGAGGAGAAATTTATATTTAGTAAATGCTATCTATAAAATTTGGATCTAAATTTTTCTTTTCTCTTGGATCGATTTTGTTGGTTGGTGAAATTTCAAGGAACAAATGCTTATCGTTACCAGATAGGACAGTTATCTAACGTTACAGCGGTAGCTGCGTTGTTTACTCGGTAAACATTATTATTAAGCTTTATCCAGGATTATTGTTAATATTATAATAATTAATAAATTATTTATAATTATTTGTAAATGTTAATTATAGCATTTGAACGTAAGCAACCCTCCCTCCATTCTTGGTCGATAATATTGCTCGCGAACGTCATCTATCGGTAAGAAATGTTTTGTTGATCCTTACGGTAGGCAACACTTTTTTACACAGAAATTTTCTACTACACGATAGTACGACGGCATTGCCTACTGTAAGAATTACAAAAAAAATTTCTTTCCGATAGATGGCACTCGCAAGCAACGTTATCGACTAAGTTTGGAGCGTTGCCTTTCCTCAGGCGCGGTAATTAATGCAAATGATTACGAAAGATTTATTAAGGAGGATAAATAAAGAAAATGATGTTCGAAAATATCAATGAACGGACTGATCATATTACATCGAGTATTTTCGTTATTCGATGAAAATAATTGACGACGAAGAATTATTAAATATCCATGTTTCGAAGTACACGTAAATTATTGCATTTCTTCAGACGATTTAAATTACTTTCGTAGATATTCATCCGTTATACATTTACGCGATGGAACAAAGGACTCCCAAGAGGATCGTGGCTAAAAATTGTATTTACTTACGCAGTACGAGGCATTACTAGGGAACGCGATGTACCGTTGATTGCCGTGGGCGTTTAACCGCCTGGCAAGCCCTCTCTCTCTCTCCTCCTCCCCTCCCCCATCCCCCTACAACTCGACACCTTTCGGTGTGTTGAACCAGCGCAATATATGTTGCCGATCGATTCGACGAATCGTTTCACACGAAATCGAGCGTCTCCAAATTATAAGACGGAAGCTGTTTGGTCGGTCGTCGAGCCGATCGATCTACCGTTTTTTATCGTATCTTTGATCGAGCCTCCGTTAAGATCATCGTTCGCTCTCTTCGATAATTTCTTTGATAATCGATTTGCTTGGAAAGACAATTAAAGTAAATTAATAATAGATACGTCGGTATCTATCGATAATGGCATCGGTCGTGGTTAAAACATGACGATAAATGAAAAAAAATTCTTTTCTATAAGAAGATTATAAGAAAGAAAGAACTCGTCGAATTAATTTCCAATCGTTCGTACGATCGTTAACATGCATAGTTCGATATATAATACATATGTAAAGCGGAAACGGCGGTGAAAAGAAAAACAAGCGAGTATTCATTCTACAAAGTGTATAAAGAAAATGTCAGCGACGAACGAGAGGCTCGTAGTTGATAATCGCGCGAGATCTAAGCGTGGATGAGGTCGGCACAATCTCTCTCCTCCACGGTGATGTATCGGATATGTCGCATATTGTTTTTGCGGCATATATGAGAGAACGAAGTTACGCGTACCCGACAGAACCGTTAGCCAGTATTTACCGTCGACTGTCGGACGTCGTATACGCCATTCGAAAGGTAGCCCCGAATAGAAGCCGCCACCGCGTCGTAGTTGCGGCCGACTTTGAACCCGGCAAAGTGCCATCCCGTTTCGTCTCCTTCCGTCTCCTCCCCTACCGCGGGGGTCCGTTAAAGTCGGAGCCGACGACGACGTCAGCCAGCTTTTGCCCGCTTCCCCGTTTTCTATCGTCGGATAAAATCTATGGGAAACCGACTAACATGCTCGACACACAACTCTTAAACTACTACTCTCTTCCATGCAGAGTTCGCGCGTCTTTGCTATAATTCATGATTAGTCTTATACGAGTATGATCGTAGGAACATATCCCTTACGAGTAATGAATAATGGTCAAAGGACCGTTGGCGAATCACGTTACGTGACACAAGACGAAGAATTAATATTTACATGTAAGATTTATACGCATATCTAAGTGATATCATTTAGATAAAGAAAATTTATTTTTTCGATCTCGATCGAACGATATGTCCTATCGAAAGTAAGAAACAAGTTGTCTCATATTTTGACGACAGTGGAGGGATATGTATTTTTTAGGTAGATATACTCGTTTCGATCTTGTGCATCAAGGAATTGTCCGTGAAAACATAGAATAGTGGGTCAACTTATCGATCCAACTGGATTCTTTCGAGATTTCGAATGTTTTATGACATTCGAAATTTAAGTCAATTAAATTAATATAGAGAAGGAAGCAAAAATAAGACTTAGGATTGTTCGATTCGATTCTAAGTCAAGATGTGGTAATGATCGAGCTGATAAGTCGAGCGGAACGTTAAAAACGGATAAAGAAGCATAAATCGGGAGAAAACTTAATCAGTATTTAATCGTGAGTTTTTCGAGGACTACGATACGAGGCTTTGACCCGATCATAAAATACCGGTTCTCTGTTCGCTCGTATCCCATAAAAATAAAAGGAAAAAAAGCACACACACACACACACAGA